ACAGGCACAGCCTCTCCCACTGTCCACATCCCACACCTGAGTTGTGCATTTGTTACCAAGAATGAACCTACACTGGCATGTCGTCCTCCCCCAGAGCGCTTCGTGTACGTGAGGTTCACTCTTAGCGGTGTGCGTTCTGTGGGTTTGGAGACATGTGTAATGACTGGCACCCACCACTACGGTATCTTACAGAGTAGCTGCCCTTGAAGTCTTCCGTGCTGCGCCCATTCATCCCTCCTCCCCCCGCCCCTGCAACCACGGACCCGTCACCGCCACCATGGTTGTGCCTTCGCCAGAGAACCCTGTCGCTGGAATCGCGCAGGATGCAGCCTTCTCAGACTGGCTTCTGTCACTCAGTGATCCGCGCTCACGGTCCCTCCGTGTCTTCTCATGGTGTGATGGCTCGTTTCCTCTTAGCGCTGAATACTCCCCCATTGGCTGGATGGACAGTTCCCGTATCCATCCACCCGCTGAAGAGCAGCTATGCATGAAGGGTCCCAAGGGTTGGCAGTTACGCATAAAGCTGTCTCGAACATCGTGTGCAGGGTTTTGTGTGGACGTGTGTTCTCATCTCCTCTGGGGAAACATCAGGGAGTGTGATTGCTGGGTCGTATGGGAAGAGCACATTTCATTTTGTGAGAGACCACCAAACTGCCTTCCAGGGTGGCTGCCCCATCTGCTTCCCCAGCAGCCGTGAACGAGTGCTCCGGTCGCTCCACGTCCTCCCCAGCGCTTGCCGGTGTCCGTGTTCCGGATGCTGGCCATTCTCGTAGGTGCGCGGCCGAGTTCATCTCCCCAAGGACTTATGATGTGGAGCAGCTTTACTTATTGGCCATCTGTATGTCTCTCTGTTCAGGTCTTTTGTCCATTTTTAAAAGATTGTGTTTTAATGTTGAATTTTAAGAGTTCTTTATATATCACAGATAACTGTCCTTTATCAGATGTGTCTTTTGCAAATGTTTCCTCCCAGTCTGTGGCTTGTCTTCTCACTCTCCAGACGTGGTCTTTCACAGAACAGAGGTTTTACATTTTAACAAAGTCCAGCTTATCAGTTCTTTTTTCATGGATTGTACCTTTGGTGCTGTATCTAAAAAGTCATCCTCCTATCCAGGGTCCCCTAGGATTTCTCCTGTGGTGTCTTCTAGAAGTTTTGTAGTTTTGCATTCAACGTTTAGTCTGTGATCCATTGTGAGTTAATTGTGAAGAGTGTAAGGTCTGCGCTAGATTCACTTTTTGTGTGTGGACGTTCCGTTGTTCCAGCCCTACTTGTTGAAGAGACGATCTTTGTTCCATTGATTGCCTTGCTCCTTTGACAAGGATCCATTAACTATGTTTGTGTGGCTCTATTTCTGGGCTCTCTGTTCTGTTATATTGATCTATTTGTCTGGTCCTTCTCCAATACCACACTGTCTTGATCACTGTTGCTTTATAGTGACTCCTGAAGTTGGATAGTGTTGGTCCTTTGTTCTTTTCCAACCTGTACACAATGTTTGTTCAACTTTGTTCTTTTCCAACTTTGTGTTGGCTGTTCTGGGTCTTTTGCCTCTCATATATACTTTAGAATCAGTTTATCAATATCCACAAAATAACTTGGTGGGATTTGGACTGGGATTGCACTGAATCTACAGACCAAGGTGGAAAGAACTGACATTTTGACAATATTGAGTCTTCTTATCCATGAACATGGACTATCCCTGCATTTATTTAGCTCTTTGATTTATTTCAGCAGTTTTGTAGTTTTTCTCATATTGATAGATATTGTACATGTATTTGTTATATTTATACCTAAATAATTTGTTTGTGAGAATGCTAATGTAAACGGTATTGTGCTTTTAATTTCAAATTCTGCTTGTTCATTACTGGTATATAGGAAAGTGATTGAATTTTGTATATTAACCTTGTATCCTACAACCTTGCTATACTCACTTATTAGTTCCAAGAGGGTTGTTTTTTATTTTGTTTTGTTTTTGCCAATTCTTTTGAATTTGCTGCAGAGATGATCATGTCATCTATAAACAGACAGTTTTATATTTTTCTTCCCAATCTGTGTACATTTATTTCCTGTTCTTGCCTTATTGCATTAGCAAGTTTCCAACATCTAGCATGATGTTGGAAAGGAGTGGTGAGAGAGACATCCTTACCTTGTACCTGATCTCAGTGTGAAGGCTTCAAGTTTCTCACCATTAAATGTGATATGAGCTGTAGGGGTGTTTTGTAGATATTCTTCATCAAATGGAGGAAATTCTGTTTTATTCTTAGTTTACTGAGAGTTTTTACCATGAATGAGTGTTGGATTTTTGTCAAATGCTTTTTCTTCATCTATTGATATGATTTTGTGATTCTTTTTAGTTAGTGTGTTGACGAGATGGATTCCATTAATTGATTTTTGAATGTTGAACCAGTCTTACGTATCTAGGATAAATTCCACTTGGTCATGGCTGGCCTGTTTGCTGAGAGGGAAACTGTCCTCAACTAGGCAAGTCCCCTGAGTGTGAGTGTGGCCCAACAAGAGGGGCCCCCACTGGCCAAAGATGTCACCCACTGTATTCCCATGAAGGTGTTTTTCTAAACTCTCAGAGCATGGCATGGGCATTTGCTTTTTGGAGAGATCTTGGTTCCTGCCCACGACAGCTGGGCCAGTGCCTTTAGTGCAGCAGGTGCCAGAAGGTCTGTGGGGAGGTGACCCCATCCTCCACTCACAGAGCCTGTAACTGGAGAATGGACCAATGATGTTAGGGCCATGGCATTTGGAGGCTTACTCCCAATGGGAACCATGAGGAATTTCATGGAAAGGAAGGAGGTGCCAGTGCATCGCTGGGGTCCCTGGGCCTGCCCTTGGAACATGCTCTTGTCTTTCAGCCTAAGACATCAATGGCTGCGGCCTCTTGCATTCTAAATTAAGCTGGAAAACTTCTAGCTGCCTGGGAGGAAGGGCAGTGGTGGGCATACCCATGTTTAAATTTGGGGACACCTGAGTCAGGACAGCAGGGCCAGTGATATGGAGGCTGGTGAGAGTCCAGTTTCCTAATCTTAGAGCATCTCCCTGAGTGCATGCTCAGGCTCCAGGAACTTCTGATATGAAGGGACCATCATAGCAGCTACCGTCTTGGTGGACAGCATTGTCTGTCTTTGAGCATCAAGTAGCCACTGTCTTCCCAGAGCCTGCGGTCCTCCTGGAAGGTCCCCCTGCTCCCTAGCACTGAGGCCAGGCTATTGTTCCAACGAGGCTGCTGTCTGCACTGCACTTGGCTGCTTCCCACGTCCCATCTGCAGGGGTCTTACCTGCAAGGGATGGAGGAGCCCTGGCTGGCTGTGGTGCTGCCGACAGGGTGGGAAGTCAGGGCCAGGCAGAGCGGAGATGCCCACCACTGCCCCGAGTAGACCAGCCCTGGAGGGTACCCAAAGTGCATGTCCTCATGTGGGTGGCTTCTGTCTCTACTGTTTTCACTTTTTGTTCTCAAAGAGCTCTTTGCAAGATAGAATTTGCCTTAGGAAGTTGGGGTTTGGCATTGCTTCCCTCTGCTCTGACCTGCCCCCCCCACCACACACATTCACGTACATTCACGCACACAGTCACGGGCTCGCTTACCACCTTCCTCAGGTCACCCACTCGTCAGCAGCCCCTTCCCAGAAGACTGTCTCCCCCATGTAATTCTCACCTTGGAGATAGACCACACCCAGACTGTAGGTGGGAGTCTTGAGAGAAAAGGCTTTGGGTTGGGGCCCTTGGCTGGACTGTGGCCCCGAAGTCCCAGCTCCAGCTGGTAAAGTGGGCATGCGTACAGGGAATCACCAAAGTATGGGTCTGTCCTTGAAATTGTGTTTGCCCCACCCTATGTCCAGCAGTGACTTGCACTCCCTGGACTGACAGGTGGGCCCTGCCCTCTGTCCCCAGCACCTGACCCTCTTGGCCCAAGATCATCAGGCTGCTGGTGGCCTGTGCATGCCCAGGAAGCATGCCTCCTCCACGCTACTTCCGAGGCTCAGGCAGATCCAGGTCAAGTCAGGCCCTGCTGGGTCCCAGGACCAGCGTCATGGAAAGCAGGGCCTGTGTGCCCCCCACAGCGGCCTCTGGTCCCATTGGAAGGACAAGAGATGAGGGAGAACACTGGGCCCCATGGCTGGGTCCCCAGTCTAGACTCAAGCTACCTCCACGTGGTGGGAGGACATGGGGGAGGAGGGCAGACCCTGGGCTCCTGAGAGAGTGAACCAATGGGGGCTGGGACTCTGAGGGGTATTTGAGAGGAAGGTGGGGCCGCCCAGTGTGAGCATCTGTTGGTGAAGGAACCACAGGTCTCCCTGGTGGCTCGTGCACCACGTGGCCCCTCTGCAGGTCAGGGTGGCTGTGGCAGCCCAGCGTGAACATGGTGGGAGGGGACACCGAGGAAGCCCCTGACAAAGCTGGGGCCCCTGGGTGGGATTTGCTGTATTACGAGTGTGAGTACAGGCCTGGAACCACAAGGATGGATCCTCCAAGAAACACCCCCCATTCTGATTTTCTGCCCCTGGGGGTTTACTTAGTTTCCAGGCCGGTTGGTAATGTTGATACAGTGCAGGGAACTGCGGGGTGGACGGCTTCTCTCCTCCGTAATGGAGTGAGGTTGTTAAGGCCAACACCCCGGGCAGGGTGCCTTCCCTGGGGCTGGAGCCCGGCTCCTGCTGTCTGAGGGTGGGGAGGTGGGTCATGGGGTGAGGAGGGGCTGCAGGCCCTGGCACCCGCGGCCGGCTGCTGGTTCAGATGGCGTGCCGTGCTCAGCCACATCCTCGCCCCCTCTGTCCTCCAGAAGGGACGGTTCCCGTCGCGTCCTCCTGGGGCCGTGAGCCCATTGGCGGGGGGCAGCGGCTTGTGGGCCACACGTCCTGACCCAGAGTGGTATTTGGAGAAGCAAGGCAGGTGCCGGGCAGGTGGGGAGCCCCTCGTGACTCAGTGTCCCCCCGGCACCCTGCCTGCTTGGTTCCCCCAGGCTTGCCCTCACTGGGGGTCTTTCTCCTCTTTGCAGAAAGCCTGGGCACGGAGGTGGGGCTCCTGCAGCTGCTTGGAGAGCCCCCACCCCCGCAGGTCACGCAGGTGGAAGACCCCGACGTCGGGCCAGCCTTCGTCTTTGGCCTGGATGCCAACAGCGGCCAGGTGGCCCGGTACCACTTCCCCAGCCCGTTCTTCCGTGACTTCTCGCTGCACTTCCACGTCCGGCCTGCCACCAAGGATGCGGGGGTGCTGTTTGCCATCACGGATGCGGCCCAGGCGGTGGTGTCCGTGGGCGTGAAGCTGTCGGGCGTACGTGATGGGCACCAGCACATCCAGCTCCTGTACACCGAGCCCGGGGCCACACGAACCCACACAGCCGCCAGCTTCCGTCTGCCCGCCTTCACTGGCCAGTGGACGCGCTTCGCCCTCAGTGTGGACGGCGCAACTGTGGCGCTGTTTGTGGACTGCGAGTTGTTCCAGAGGGTGCCCTTGGTGCGCTCCCCGCGGGGCCTGGAGCTGGAGCCCGGCGCTGGCCTCTTCGTGGCCCAGGCTGGAGGAGCAGATCCTGACAAGTTCCAGGTAACCTGGAGGCCACTGTGCTCCGGGGGGACCGGCCCTGGGGGTGGGGGTCCGTCCGGTTACGGGGGACAAGGATGATAGCTGCCTCCTGTCCTGCCTCGTGCCGCCGTCCCCCGGGGGACGACAGCCTCCGGGCAGAGCTGTCAGCCCCGCTGGAGCCCAGCCCTGAGGGTCCCAGCTCCATTGGGCTCCCGCATGTCACCTTCTGCCCCTTTGAGGCCCCCAGTCCAGGAGGCCCCTTGGGACCACCTTCCTGCCTGAACACCCATCCCTGCCACGACAAGAGCCCCCCACCCCCCTGTGTGTGATGCCTGCAGAGACCCCGGGGCCCCACCGGGGGGCAGGGTCCATGTCCAGGCCCACATGACTGGTGCACAATGAAAACGGGGATTTCAAGACAGTAACAGCAGAGCGTAGCGCTGAGCATGGGCTGTCCTGGGGCGGACTGCACCCCGTGAAGGCTGCGCACCCACTGGGCCGGGCTGGGGTTCTCACCACATCAGGCCTGCTGACTATCCTCATTGTCACCGAACCGCGCAGCTGTGGCTCAGAGCAGCAAGGACGGAAGTGCCCCGGGGACCCTGGCACACGGCTGTCCCCACCTTTCCTCGGGGAAGCCCCCTCCCCCTGCGCCTGGCCTTGGCCTTCCCAGAGCCTGGAGGGGTGGGGGGGGTCTTTCTCCCGGGCCCTGGGCCTCCCACCCTCCACGGACGCTGATTCACGAGCCCCAGCCCTGCCCCTGGAGCCGCCCACAGCTAGAACGCCCCTGCGCCCTGATCAGACAGGGTCCCTGTGTGCACCCGAGGGGGCAGTGTCCCCGGGACAGAAAGTTAATTATTGCCCAGACAAAGGCCGCCTGATGGACGTTGTTCTAAGTCCTGGTGACTTGGGGGCTGAAAGCTGACCTTTCACCTCTGGCAGGAACTTTAACCCTCGGGGTCTGGGAACCAGCAGGACTTTGATACCAAACTGGGCCTCTTTGTGTTTTGGTTTGATCCTCAAACATGATTAACTGGAAGGAAGCCTGTCGGGGGAGGGACGGTGTCCACGGGCGGCTTGCTGAGTGGCATCCCCCGCAGCTGCAGATGGAAAAGCGCCCCAGACATTCCCTGCGTCTTTTTTTTCTTTCTTTTTCTTTTTTTTTAAGATTTATTTATTTGAGAGAAAGAACACAAGTGGGGGAGGGTCAGAGGGAGAAGCAGACTCCCCCCTGAGCAGGGAGCCCGACCCAGGGCTCGATCCCAGGACCGCCCCCCCCGCCCCGGGATCATGACCTGAGCTGGAGGCAGACACATCACCACCCGAGCCACCCGGGCACCCATTCCCTGCGTCAGTAACACTTCAGCAGAAAGGCTGCCTGTGTGCTGGTGGGGACGGGGTCGCCCGTGTCGTGGTGTGCTGGAGGTCACCACCGTCGTGGACAAGGGCGCCCAGCGCCTCCTCCCTGGGCCTCGTCAGGGTTGTGTGTCATGTGCACTGAACACAGTCGCCAGTCGAAATAAGCAAACAGTGTCTGGGTGTTTTAACGTGCATGTCTTGGTTGTTAGTGTAGACAGACTTTAATTTTTTCACATGATTTTTGACTGAATTTCTTCTTTTGTGACTGGCCTACTTATGGTCTTTGCATTTTTGTTTTGATGGGTTCATCCATTTCTTACTGATTCATATAAGCTCTTTATATATGAAAGAAACTGGTCCTTTGTTTTGTCCACTGTAATTTTTATCTCCCAATTTGCCTTTTTATCATGTTACTTTTTTGCTTAAACCATTGAGATATTTAAGTGTTTGTGTGGAAGATGCCCATGGCGGGTAACATGGCGGCCAAGCCTCTGAGGGTAGGGAAGACAGGAACGGAGTGAGGTGTCGGCGCCGAGCTGCGGCCCGCCTGCCCTGGGCAGCTGCTTGACTTCAGCTGACTTCACTTGGGCCACGTCCACCTGAGCCAAGAGCGGTCTGGCTCCTCGAGCCCCCGCACACTGGAGGCTTCAGGAATTTGTGTGGGTGTTGGATCAGACTCCAGCCGGCGGAGGGGAGAAGCCTGGAGGACAGAAGACAGATCAGTTTAGCGCAGGGCTTTGCAGACTTTCTGAATTGAGGTTCCTGGGGAAGAGTCCTTCTGTGATGGGATTTGTAAGATTTGGCAGAAATGAGCGCGGGGCTCAGGCTGCCGAGAGGAAGTGTCGCCTCCGGCCCCTCCCGATGGGGCGCCCCGCCCTTGCAGCCCTGCGCCCCACGGCCGGCCGGCCCCGCAGAGCCTTTGTTGTTTGTCTCTGGCCGGAAACATTGGTCTTTACAGGTTTACTCTCCTTGAGTCAAATGTGAGAAGGAGTGTCTCCTGGGAAATCACGCCTTCCATCCAGGTACTGCGGCACCTGGCTGAAGTGCTCTTGCTCAGTGGTCTGGGGCCTTCTTACTGTTTTTAACTATTTCAAAAGCTCTCGGGCCGCATTTCCCTTGACGGACTCCCTCTGTCGAAGGGCCTTGCTCTCCCGCCCGCCGTGGGCTTGCGTCTCTGTGCGGACCCTTCCTCGTGGCCTCGGGCTCTCTGGCCGCTGGTGGCGGCTTCGGCCCACGGACGGCCCACAAACACCCCCAGCGCTGCGTGGGGTGGACACGGCCCTGCCCTACCGGAGGCTGCACCCCCGCGGTGGCATCTCGCACGAACCGTCACTTTGTTTGACGGCGAACCTGTGGCAGGTGGTGACTTTCCTCGGCACGCGGCCGTGTGGGCCACCATACAGCGTAAATCCGCACCTGGTCCACCGAAGCCAGGAGGTTGCCCGCCAGCCACGGGCAGGCTGGATGCCGGGGACAGCACGGAGCAGGCCGGGCACATGTCGTCAGGGGCCCGGGGCCCCCAGCCCGGCACCCAGACCCACCTCTCCGGACCGAGGGAGAGCGGGGGTGCTGTGGTCACACCCTCCTCCACCGACACCTGATCCCACACGCACTCCCGCCCCCTTTTACTCACCTGAAGTGATGCCGCGCACTGGGAGGAGGGCTGAGGCTCAAGGCCACGGCACTGCTGCGATTTCCTGCCTTCCCGGGGGACAGTCAGGGCTGCTGTTGTCTCCGATGGAAAAACTTGCCCAGACGTGACCCCACAAGAAGCAACCGCGAGGAAGCCAGATGCTCTCATGCCAACAGTCAAGGCTTGACGCAAGCAGGTGGTCAGAAGCCACGGGAGCAAGGAGCGCGAGAAAATGGGGTGGGGGGCAGCCTCAGCTGCAGCTGCGGTAGGTGACCGGGGACCAGGCCGACCCAGGGTGGGGTCATCCGAGGACGGAGCAGCTGAGTGGGGGCAGGGGTGAGTCTTGCCTAGGAGCGCTGCGTGCCGTGCCCCCCCATACGGGCTCACTCAGCCCCGCCCGCAGCCAGGACACGGCCCTTCCTGGGTCAGAGGTCACCCCGCAGAATCCTGCAGCCACGGGAGTCGGAATCCCAGGGAGGCGCCCAACACCGGTGACCTCAGGCTGGCTGGCACAGCACAGAGTTCTCATCATCTCCACACAGCTAGGCCGTGTGGCCCACAGCATGGCAGCGTGGGGCATATTTTAAACAGCCTTTGTTAACAAAGTGCAAAGTCTCCAGATTTCGCAACGTTTGCTTCTGAGCCTGACCAATATTTGCAGTGGGTCTTGTGACTTTTGCACAACTGACGTCTTCCCCACTAAATGTGTCCCTGGGGAGCTGTGGCACCCCGAGCCAGCGTGCCCTGCTCTCCTCTGCGCAGGCATCCTGGGGAGACCCTCAGGGCCTGCGCTGGTGCTGGGCCAGGTCTGTCGGAAGCTCAGAACCTCAAGGGAAGGGGTCTGGGGGCACCGTCATGGTAGGACGTCTAGCCCCCTGACCCCACCTGCTAGGAACGCCCACGCCCTCCCCTCATCGCTGCCACCCCGGGGGCACCCCTGCTGGCCCACGGAGAGCTCGACCTTCTAGAAGTTAACATCTGCCCTGTGCTGTCCCTCACACTTGGTGACCCATGTCACCCGGCCCACCCTGTCGTTCTCCCAACGGGGGGCACGATGCTGCTGCCGACCCCTGAGCTGACCCCTGCATTTGTAAGTCCAGGATGGCCTGTGTTTCCTGTGGGCATTGGTGCACCCAGGAACCTGGACGGTGGAAGGCACCTGTGTGTGCGTCCCCTGCTCCTGGTCTGCACACACGTGCTCGTGGGCACACACTGCTCACACGCACACGTGCTCACAGGCACACACATGCTCTCATTGCATGCACACATGTGCTCACATGCACACAGGTACACACTTGTCCACACACGTGCACACGCACACACACTCACTACATGCACACGTGCACACACGTGCCGACACGCACACACATGCTCACAGGCACACACGTGCTAGATACATGCACAAGCTGTGTGATGGCCCCACCTACGCTATTTTTTCACTGGGTGCACACGTAAACACATGCTTGCACATAACCCATCACACAAAGCTCTCACACACACGCTTGCACACCTCTTCCACACAGCTTGGCCACCCCCCATGGTAGTTGGAGCATCCCAGAATTTGAAGGAAGGTCACTTGTTTCTCAAGCATACCAACCACTGTGCACAGCGACTCCCCCACCAGGGTGTGGACTGTCTCTCCCTCATCCTGCAGCCCCAGCCCCAGTGGGTGCCGGCCTGCAGCCAGTCCCCATGCTGCCTCTCTTCTATCCGCAGTGCTTCACAGGGGCTCAGGGCCCCAGGCCCCCAAGGGGAGCTCTCAGCACAAGTCCCAAGTGGTCCGTCAGGCCCTCCCTAAGTCCCGCTGATGGCTCTGCGGTGGGTTCTCCAGTGACCACTGTGAGCAGGGCTGGGCCCCACTCGGACCTTGTGCTTTGTGGGGACACTGCAGGACAGCTTTGTCCCGGGGGGGGGACGGTGGCAGGAGGAGGCAGGGAGCACTGAGGGTGGCTCTGGATCTGAAGGGGGGCCTGCTGGGCTCAGGGTTAGACGCAGGCCACTGCTGGTTTGGTTGAAACATTGAGGGCTATTCTCTGGCCACCAGAGACCACGCTGTCTGTGCTTGGTGGCTTTCTTCCTTAAAGAGATGGAGTTCTTGGCTGCATGCTTCCAGAAGGATGCCACCGCCACCCGCCTGCAATGCAGCCACCCACCAGCCCAGGGAGAGGCCCACGGACAGCCACCCCGCCCCACCCCTGACTCCCCCAACCCCATGGTCTGGCTGCGGTCTGTCAGCTTCCCTGGGAGTGCCACAAGGCCTGGACATCACCTGGCCACCCCGAAGAAACTTCTGGAACCGATGACCATCCTGGAGCCACAGTCCACAGTGTGGACCACGGAGCCAAGGCAATTCCTGTCTCTGATCTTCTGATCTTCCTGAGCTGGCCCAGCTGTGCGTACCTGCGAAGGAGGGTGTCGTGTGTGCGCTGCCGAGTGGGAATCGCTCGCCTGCATTCAACTGCTTCCACCTGTGTCCTCAGCCGCCTCCTTCCCCTGCGAGTTGGGGCACTGGCCCAGCCACAAGTGCGCTGGGAAAATGAGGACCTCATGGTAATTGTGGGGCGACAGGTGCCTTCCTCCCCCCAAGTCCCGCCTGGGTCCCTGGGTCCAGCCATCCTCATTGGCCTCCCAGGAGCAGGGGTATGTGCATGAACGAGCACGCATGTGCAAATCACACACACGTAAGCACGGACAGATGCACACACACGTGCACGCCTGTGCATATCACGCATATCCATGTGAACGTGTGACACACTCAGAGACGGGACACGGCCCCACAGGCCTCACTGTCAACAACTGGGGGGTGGAGGGAGCAGATAGACTCAGGCAGAACCAGCCCCCCGAGGTGCAAATCCTCCTGGGTAGGGATCCAGGAGTGCTTCCTGGAGGAGGCAGCCTTGGGAAGCAAGTGGAGCCCTCAGGCAGGGCTGAGCTGGGGACACGGTGGGGTGTTGCTGGTTTGTTGTCACATGCTCCTTGTGGGTGTGGAGCAGGCCGGTCAGGGTGTCGAGGGTCAGCTGATGAAGGGAGTCTGAAAGTCATTTGGAGGAATAAACTGAATAACGTAGGTGGGGCCAGCACGCGGCTTGCCGACACCAGCTGAATGACATTCGGTGTGCGTAGCACTGGGCATGGCCACGCTCAGCCCTCCGTGTCCTGTGGGGGTCAACTCCAGCACGACGCACCGCGGTCGGGATGGACACGGGAGTGCTCACCAGCCGGCCCCTGACCGAGGCCTTTCTATCACCGCAGTGGTTCAGACGCACCTCTCAGACTGACCAAGTACGGCTTCTATTTGGGAGAAATGCACCGGCGTACGTCCCCGGGGTTAAAATGTTACATGAGAAACAAAGAAAACACTGGAAAACACGTGTGGACACTCACCGTTTCCCAGCAGGGAAACCTTGCGGCAAGTGGCCCAAGAGGCCCGGTGGCTCAGCCTGGAAGGCGCGTCCAGGGGAGGAACCCCTCTGACTCCGCCTGGGTGGTCTGAGCCACCCGTGCCCTGGGGCACGCCTGCTGGTTTCCGGTCATGGCCTCTGGCGGTGCCCAAAGTAGCCAGGGCCACACACAGCTCCCCCTCCGCTGTCACCACCTCCCGAGGCCCCAGCCCCCCTTGGTTTGGGGGAGACACGTGCACTGGTGACCTTGGGCCGGTGGGGCCTGTTTCATGCAGCGCTCTCTGGGAGCGCGCCTCCATTCCAGGTCCCCTCACGCGGGTGCTTTTGGAGCCCCCGGGGGAGCGACCTGAGCGTGCTCCACTTTCTGAGACGGCTTCGTCCTGGACCTTCTTGCACCGCTCCGTTCCCCGCTGAGATCACCCCCGGCGGCGCGGGGCTCCGCGCTGAGTGCCGGCCTGCTGCGCCAGCTGCCTCGGGACCGACAGTGGCCCCTCTCTCCCTCTGCTTTCAGGGGATGATCGCGGAGCTGAGGGTGCGTGGGGACCCCCACGTGAGCCCCCTGCACTGTCTGGAGGAGGACGATGAGGGCGGCGGCAGGGTGAGTACGGGGTTCCCTCCCCCACCCACCCACTCTTCCCTGAGGGCGGAGGGCCCAGGGCGTGCGCTTGCTGGGAACCCCGAAGCGGTGGCACTGGAAAGGTCTTCTCTGAAAAATGCTGTCTGGGTACCAAGAACCTGGGACCATGCTTTCATTTACTCATAACATCAAAAGAACTTTCCTGCCTAGAACTCTCCACTTAAAAACTCATACCGAGTCCAGAGCGTTAAAAACAATCCCTAGAAGAGCCAGTTGGGTGCCACAGTCACTGGTAGTGCATCTGCCGTGGCCGGATGCGCACGTGTGTGTGCATAGGGCCGATGTTCCCGGGGAGAATCCAGAGCGGAAAATGCCCTGGTGACCCCACGGCCATGAACAGAGTGAGGCCATCAGCCGTGTGCGCATGCAGTGCAGGGATGAAAGGACAGGTCACATGTCCCGCGGCCGTGGGCCACTCTGTTCAGCGCCACCAGGCCGTCCACCCGCGGCCTCCGTGTTGACAGACCGTGCCTGGAGCCCCCTGTGCAGGGCCTCTGTCCTCTGGCTGTTTCCCAGCATGGTGTACCCAGAACGGGACGACAAGTCGAGAAAAGGAACGTGTTCACTGTTCTGCGTGGGTCTGACGGGCGTGCCCGCCGGCGGCCGGGCTAACCCTGCACGGGGTTGCGTTTGGTCACGGCTCCCTCCTTCCCTGCACGCCCTCAGGTGTCTGGAGACTTCGGGAGCGGGCTGGAGGAGACCCAGGAGCCTCTCAGGGAGCAGTCGGTGAGTGCTGTGAAGCCGAGGCTGCCCTCCTGAGGTCCTGGAGGGGGCTGCCCACCCGGGACCCTGCCCAGCAGTGGGGCTGTGTGAGCGCACCCATGGGAGACCTGCGTGGGCTCCCTGGGACCTGAGGACACATTCCCAGCTGGACACTGGAACCCTGGGACTCAGGTGGCCCCTCCAGGAGATGCGCCCTCTTATCTCTGTCATGAGGGATTTAAAATAAGGTTTCTGATTCTAAAGGCTCCCTGGGTCTCTGGGGTGACCTTGTTCTGTTTACGCCTCTGCATTAGCTTGTAGGGGCCACAGAGTGCTAATGGTAGGTATTACGGTGAGGAAGTTTCCAGAGGCCGAGTCAGAGCTCACCCGGCTCCCACCACCCGAATAATGCGCAGGATGGAAACGGCAGCCTTTATCCGTTTGCACGAACGTGTTGCCTCTGCCCTTCCGCTCCGCCCACCTCCAGTTGCCCCGTCCCAGGGCTTGCACACTGAGGGGCCGGGACGGGCAGGGTGCCGAGCTCCACCCACACAGGGGGCGCTGGGGACCTCCTGACCTTGCACTGGCCAGAGCAGCACTGGGAGGGCACCTGGCGGGCCCCTAGGACACGGCGTCCGTGCGTAGTGCCCGTGATGGCCCCCGCCTGTGTCAGACGGCCTCTGGGTTCCTCGCAGATGGGGGCTGGATTTGGGCAGTTGCCCCTTCACCCACCGAGCTCCCATCTCCCCAGGGTTCCCTGGTGCCAACCAGAGCATCGGGATGCAGAGCCCCCACAGAAACGGGGGTCCAAGTTCTGCCACGGCTGCAGCGTGAAGTGCCAGGGCTTTGGGCTTCGTGGCCTCTCCTGGTGGGCTAGAGGAGCCAAGGACCAGAAGGGGTCACGCGTGTTCGCCCTCCGCCCCATAGCCTGCTGCGCTCGAGCTGGGAAGCCCCGCCCGCCCAGGCTCCGGTTTGGGAAACCTGGCCCGCTGGCCGGCGGTGGTGGCTTCCCTGAGCGCAGAGGACTGGGCCACAGCTGGCGCAGGCCAGCCCAGGGCACGTGCAGCGTCCAGGGTCCCCCACCTGCTCCCCATGGCCAGCCTCCGCCTCCGCATTCTCGTGCTCAGAGGCTCTGGGGTGTCGGGTGGCCCGCTGGGGCTCGCGGGTCCCAGGGCATCTCCCCCGCATCAGTGGGGCCCTGGCTGCAGGGGGAGGCCTGGTGTCCAGCCCTCAGACTGGCCTCCCAGGAATGACGGTCACCAAGGGCCTTGACCTGCAGTCACCAGGGAGCTCATGCCAAACGTGGGTCTGGCAGTTGCAGGAAGCCTCCTGACTGCGTAGTTGAACATGTGCATGCTGGTGCCCACGTCCTTGAGGCTCCAGTGGGCCTGGGGGACCCGGAAGACGGGGTTGCAGAGCAGGGCTGGCCTGATCTCCTCAAGGGCGGGTGTCAGTCACCTGGCCTTGGCCATGAAGTGCCGGGTCGTGGCCCCTGCCAAGGACAAGTTGCAGCCCCGTGCCGTCTGTGTGGTGAAATGCTGGAGGCTCCCGCCCCCCACCCCAGGTGTCTGTGAGGGCCCCCAGGCAGGTCCCTGACCTCGGGGAGGAGCTGTGGCCCTTGAGTGTCAGTGAGGAGCCGTCCCAGGGCCTGAGCGAGCGGGGCGGGTGCTCGTCCCTGGTACACAGGAAGACCTCCAGCTCGGGGCATTCAGGGGACCCTGTCCCCACGGGCTGTTTAGGAGAACACAGCTGTGGGGTCCCTGGCGCGTCTCCCCAGGATGAAGCCCCTGGTGTTTCGTTCCCATCTTTCTGTAAGAATCTGTGAAGATCTTATCTTACAAACCACGTAACCTGGCAGGTCGGCCGCGCATGCACGCCCAGGACATCTGCGTTTGCTGAATAATGGAGCCGTTTCTCCCACTCTTACCTTGCCAGGGTCCGTCGCCCAAACCCAGCCTCCCCGAGGCTCCCCCGGTCACTTCTCCGCCCTTGGCTGCAGGCAGGGATGTGGAAGACTCCAGAACTGAAGAAATTGAGGAAGAAACCACGGTGTCCTCCTTGGGAGGTAAAACTGTTCGGTGGCGTGCACGGGCGGCGAGGGGCTCTGTCCGTTGGGGACACGTGCAAAGCGGGGGGAGTGGTCAGCGCCCGCCTGGCCCCCTGTGGCCCCAGCAGAGTCAGCTCGGAGCCGCTGCTGGGCCTGGCCTTGTCTTCACGGTTCATTTCGTGTGTTGCTGTTGCTGGTGGGGGTTTGTGGGGCCGTCCGAAGGTGCTGCAGGCTCTCGCTAGGACACAAGGGTTGGCTTTGAAGGGGCACAAATCGTTGGACAGATCGGCCTCTGCCCGGGACATCCATGAAGTAGGCCTGCCCCAGGTTGGCATTTGGGGTCGGGGACTTCCCCTGGTGGCCATGGGGGTCCGCTGGCCGGGGTGGGGGTGGGGCTGCCGGTGTGGACCTGCCAGAGGCCAGGCCGCCGTGCCGCGGGTGTGCTGAGAATGTCCCCCGTCTGTCGCCGCCAAAGGATCACCACAAATGTGGCTCCTTGGGAGGCACCCGCCGCTTCCCTCGTGGTCCCCGGGCTGTGTCCTCTCCCAGAGGTCCCTGCAGAGGACCCGCTCCCTGCTCATTGGCAGAGCTCAGGTCCCTGCAGCTGTGGGACGGAGGCTCCCCAGGGATCAGCCCTAGGTTCTAGGGGCAGCCCACGTTCCTCTGTTCCCAGTCCCCCATACATCTTCCAAGCCAATCACGGCAGGTGGAGTCCTCCTCATGCTTTGAATCTCCTGAACCTCCCCTCCTGCCTACCTCTGCAATTCTGGGGCCTTGACTGATTATTGGGTTGTACCCCAATAATCCAGGTTAATCTCCCTACCTGTAAGTCAGCTACTCAGTAACCTCTAAGTTACACCTCCAGAGTGCTCTCACAGCGGTGCTAGGTTCGGGTCTGATGGGGCGAGCAGGGGCCAGCAAGCTTAGGGGAGACGTTTTTAGGGTTCTGCCTTCCACACTTACATCAAGATTGTAGAAAAGTATGTAGACTTTTTTTTATTTTAGAGAAAAGCATTTACTGCTTTCAAAAAATTACTGAATTAATACATGCTCAGTGCAGCTTAGAAACTGAGAGACTTGGCAGGTGGTCCCCCAGGACCCTGCCATATGCACGTTCTGTGTGCCCTTCCTCTAAGGACCTGGTGCTGGTGGTGTTGGTTACGAACCTGCTCCCCGAGGCTGCAGCCAAGCCGGGCGAGGTTGGCAGAGAGTCCAGCCCCTCAGGGTCCCAAGTGAGGGACTCACCCCCCGCGCCGGGCCACAGGGTCCACCGCACCCCAGCCTCACTGCACTCTACAGCCCTGATGGGCCTGGGGTCACTTCTTGTTTTTGTTTCTAGTACGATCAGCATACGTTTAAAAAAACATGCAATCTGATAAGTTTTGACCTGTGTGTCGCCCGTGAAAGTATCGCAAGGAAGGTGTGACCGCGTGCACCAGCCTAGATGGGCGTCTCGTGCTCTGCAGTGCCTCCGTGCTGCCCCCACCCCCGTCCCCAGCGACACCTGATCTTTCTGTTGCTGCAGACGCAGGCGTTTTCTAGAATGTTACCTATGTGGAATCACACACCCAGTGCCTGTTTGTCTGGATCTATTGGCTCAGCACCGCTGTGCTGAGCTCCATCATGTTGTGATTTGCACTGATGGTTCGGGTGGTCTCCTCATGTGGACGGACCCAGAGCTGTCTGTCCACTCAGCTGCTGGTGGACACTTGCATCGCTTCCACTTTGGGGCTGTTATAGTGGGACATGATGTGGGCTTCCAGGGCAAGCCCCTGCGGGGACACCTGCTCCCATCTGTCAGCAGTCAGCACCTCGGGGTGAACGGTTGGGCCGCGGCATGGGTGTGCATTTCACGATCGAAGAAATTGCCAACTCTTTTCCAAGGTAGCTGCTCCAGACGCCATTGCCTGCTGCTCCTGGGCGGTGCTGGGCGTGGCCATTCTCCCTCGTGACTGTCCCAGCAGGTGCGCGAGGCGGCTCGTGCCGTTGTCACCAGCCTGTCCCCGGTGACTGGCACTGTTGAGCACCTTTCCACGTGCTTATGTGCCATTCACGCGTTGTCTTCAGTGAAGAATCTGTTCCAATCTTAACAGGCTGTGTGTGTTCCCGACCCCGAGGGTTGGGAGTTCTGCATGCTTGGGATGGCACGCCTTTGTCAGGCATATGTTCTGCAAATATTTTCTCAGTCTGTGGTTTATCTTTTCATTTTGTTAATAGTGTCGATAGAAGAGCAGAATGGGTTAGTTTTTTAATTTTGATGAAACTCCAGTTCGTTCATTTATGGATCTCACCTCTCTCGTCATGGCCGAAAAGAGTCACAAAGGTTTTCTGACGTGTTCTGGTAGCGTTACGGTTCCAGGTTTTGCATTTTGCTCTATGATCCACTTTGAGTCCCGTTTGGTATTTGGCAAAGTATGGTTCTCCCCTCCCCTCCCTCCCCTCCCCTTTATTGGAAAGACCTTCCATTCTCCTGCTGAGCTGAGTCTGTGCCTTTGTTATGGGTGCGTCGGTTTCTGGACTCCAGTGCTGTCCCGTGAGTCCATCTGACTATCCAGACAACACCACCACACCATCCTGATTCCTGTAGCTTTGTAAATAAGTCTTGGAATGACGTTGTGTGAGTCCTCCAAATTTGCTCTTTCTTTGGGAAGCTGCTTTGGTTTTCTATGTCCTTTGCATTTTCTTATGCATTTTAGACTCGGTTTGTCAGTTTCTGTGAGGACGGCCAGCTGGCGCTGAGGCTGGGATGTCTCCGGCGCCCTAGCCTGCCCTGGGGGAGGCACAGGCAGCCTAGCAGCACCGAGTCTTCCAAACACAGTTTCTCTCCTTTGCTTTCTTTCAGTAAGGTTTTGCTGTTTAAATGTTCGCCAAGGCAGAGATTTTTATTTTGCCCTAAATCATGCTAGTATTTGGAATATGGGCCTGAGAGGTTTGTACCCCATGCCGTCCGCTGTGGGGAAGGGGCCGGGCTGCTCTCCTGCACCGACTTGAGACTCGCGGTGGGTCCCCGGTGGGCGGTGTCTGACTGTGAGTCAGCTGGGCTCAGGGGCATCCAGGAGGCACTGGTGGGGTGGTTAAGGGCTGTGGTCAAAGCAGGAGCCAGCACCCCACACCGTGGAGCGTGGACACGGCTCCGATTTATTCTGAAGGTGGGCAGAGTCCTGCACAACTGTGCTGGTGGGGGAGGTGGGTACAGTCCTGGACAGTGTGAGCGCCCATCCCTGGTTACCTAAAGGGCTTCAGATCCCATGCGGTCTCCATGCGCCGCCCGAGACACTGCCCAGCGAGGGGAGAGAGATTCCTCCCAACCTCCCTCAGCAAACAGGCCTCACTGCCACGTGAGCCCCGGGTCTGCGAACCGGCTTGGCGGTGCCAACCCCAGTGGATGAAGGATTGGGGGAGCAGCCTTAGTGCACCTCCAAATTCCTTGTCGGTCACAAAGGGGAAGGTGCCCATCCTGGCCCCCGTTCTCGGATGACCAGGGCGAGCCGGCAGCCAGTATTTTGGGCGCATGTGCTCTGTGGTTCCTTGTCTGCGTTGTCTTGTTGCCCCGGAGCCCTGTGGGAATGTCCGCAGCTCCGGGCCCTGCAGAGGCAGGCCAGCAGCTGATTTGGCTGCACTCGGCCCACGGGCAGGACACTTCCTGGGGTCCTGGAACCTCCACCCTCAACCGTCCCCAGGAAGAAGCTACAGAGGACAGTGTTGGGCCAATGGAGACACTTGAACCTGAGCTGTGTGTTCAGTCACCGTATATAACAGCACAAAATATCCTGAGTGTGGCCATCTGGCGTCAGAAAGTGTCCTCGCTCTTGGGGGACGTGTGGTATTCTGGAGGGAGGGCTGTGATGAATGCAGCAAACTTCAGGGGTTTGGTGAGAGAAGGAACGACGTGTGTGCGCGTGTGCGCTTGTCCGAGCGTGTGTCCATGTGCACGTGTGCCTGTGCGTGCGTACATGTGTGCGTGCGTGTGGTGTTGGGGGACATGGCTGGGCTCCAGGCTGGCTGGGTCCTGGGACTGCAGGCAGCCTGGGGTTGGGGCAGCAAGCCCAGGGTGCAGCCTGGGCCATGCTCCGGGGTATGACAGCCGCCTCTGCCTCCCCCAGCTCGGACCCTCCCCGGCTTGGAAGCAGTCACCGCAGGGAGCGTTCGGAGCCCTGGGGGCGGCCTGGAAGAGGTGAGGCCCCCTCCCCTGACCCCAGGGCGGTCGGTGCTTCTAGTCCACTCACGGGTGACCTGGGTACAGCTCCTGGGGCTGCACCCCTTCCTCTGGGCTCCTCCTGGGCCTGCACCCGGGGGCCCAGCAGCCCCGCGCAGCACTAGGAGCCCGTGGCTGGCCCTGTTGGCGCCAGGACCCGCTGTGTGTCCTGTGCATGTCCCCTGGGACTCGGGAGGTGCAGCCGCAGGCCCCCAGCCTGTGCCCTCGCCTCTTCGTTTCCAGGGTCCTGCAGTGCAGAGTCCAGATGCACAGCCTGTACCCAGGCCACAGGGCCCCCCTGGCCCCCCGGGGCCTCCGGGGAAGGATGGTGCCCCCGGAAGGGACGGTGAGCCGGTGAGTCCACCTTCCCGGGGCCAGGCTGGGGTGAGGGGCTTGGGCAGGAGGGGGCAGGTGCACTGATGTGGTAGAGCAGCAGGCCCCGGGATGGAGGCCTCAGGATGGAGGCCTCAGGACGGCCCTGACCGCGAGGCTGCATCCTCCCCGCTCCGGGAGGCGGACGGCGGTCGGCGGTCAGGGAGGCTGCCGCAGGGCCAGCCCGCGCACTGGGAGGGAGGGTCTCCATCTCCACCCCCTGCTCCTGCACGGGGCTTGGAGAGTGGGGCTCCGGGCTGTGTTCAGATCGGGGTGGGGAAGATGGGTATAGCTCTCTGCCGCTAACGGTTCTCTCGCACGTTCCAGGGGGATCCCGGTGAACATGGGAGACCGGTAAGTTGGCTTTTCCTCCAGAGCCAGGTTTATCTGTCACGTTTGTGTGAGACCCTCAGGCTTTTTACCTCGTAACGCTCCGTCAACGCAACTCAGCACAGAGATTTCAAAATGAAGCCATTTTGGAAAATGCAGCTTAACTTTTACTGAGAAAATACAAGTCGCACTGTTGATAGAAAAATACAAAGTTAGGTGGATGCTTCTCTGGCGGCTTCTGCCGGGGCTCAGCTGTCTGTCCGGGCCACACGTCTTCGGCAGTGTGGGTGGCGACGGCACAGAGGCGCATTCTCCCTGACTGGGCTGCTGGTCTTTGTCCTCCAGGGCGACCCTGGGCCGCAGGGCTTCCCTGGAACCCCGGGAGACGCGGGCCCCAAGGGCGAGAAGGTGAGCCTCTGAGCTGTCTGGGCCGCGGGCTGTGCGCGTCACCTTCCCCAGCCCTGGCTGCATCGGGGGCCACGCACCCTGATGTTAACTGTGTCTTATGTCCCCAGGGCGACCCTGGGGTTGGGCCAAGAGGACCCCCGGGACCCCAAGGGCCTCCAGGGCCACCAGGACCCTCCTTCAGACATGACAAGCTGGTGAGTCGAGGCTGCGGCCTCTTCCAGCACGGGGCCCACCTGATGCCCCAGGACAAGAGACCGCCTTCCCGACTTGGCTCCCAGCACCTCCTTCTTCAGACTCACCCGACTTGCCAAGAGGGTTTCCGGGCCCGCGAGTCGGCTCCTGCCTTCCGGGCTGCAGGGCGTGGGGGTCTATGGGGCCCGCTGGGCTCTGGTTCCTTTCGTTCGGCGGGACATGGGCCTTTCCCATTTGTGGCTTCTTGCTGGAAAACTCCCAGCTGTGGGTGGTGTGGGCGATGCTCCCGAGGAGCATCAGGCGAGGGGCGGGGGCCGGGTGGGTGGGCCTGAGCTCCCAGTGACACAACTGTGGGCTCTTTCCCTCAGACCTTCATTGACATGGAGGGGTCTGGGTTCGGCGGTGACCTGGAGAGCCTCCGAGTGAGTGTCCCTGGGTCCTGCTGGCTCCATGTGCTTGTGGTGGGGCGGCACTGGTGCCCAAGTGGATCCCGTGGCGGGGGGAGGCGACCCTCAGCAGGTGCTGCCATAGTCACCCTGTGTTTCTCCGTGTCCAGGGCCCCAGAGGCTTCCCTGGCCCCCCAGGACCCCCGGGCGTCCCAGGCCTGCCTGGAGAACCAGGCCGCTTTGGGATGAACAGCTCAGACGTCCCAGGACCCGCAGGCCTTCCTGGTGTGCCCGGGCGAGACGGGCCCCCTGGGCTTCCTGGCACCCCGGTAAGGCCCACCTCCTGCCCCTCCTGCCCTTGTCCCCATCCGGGCTCGGCCTGGACTGGGGGGTGAACACCAAGCCCCACCCCGTACTCCCCGAATCCTCATGGGAGGATTCAGAACCCCATGGCTCCCTACTCCCAGCTACTGCAGTTGGGCCACGTGAACCAGGTGCACATAACGTGGTGTTTGCTCGGCAGCAAGCTCCGGACGTATAATTCAGCGTCCTCCCGTGGGTGGCACGCCGCTCTGTGTGGGTGACCAGCCCCTCACCCTCCCCTCTTTGATCAACTCAAACAAAAGTAGAGGAAAGGAAAGAAATGTAAAAACTGAGCAGAGCTGTCTGCACCCTGTAAGCGTGGGCAAGGTCTCTGGTGAGCCACGACTCCGGCCCATCCGGGGAACATTCCGGTGGCCTGGATTCTCAGGAAGTGCATACGCCCAGATAATCCTCCGCTAACCCATAAATCTTTCTCAGTGACTGAATTGCATCTGGTCCACACTCTGCTTTTCTCTCCCCCAGGGTCCACCGGGTCCTCCAGGAAAAGACGGAGGACCAGGGAAGATGGGCCAGAAAGGCAGCCCCGTAAGTCTGGGGGACCAGCTGCAGTGCCATATGCAGGCGGGGGGGCGCGGCCAGGTGACCTCCGCACAAGGGAAAAGCCACCAAGGCCGCCACACGGAGGCAGGTGGCCTTACTGCAGGGTGCGGCCACCCTCCACCATCCGCCAAAGCCACCAGGGTCTGACCAGGGGGGCCAGTGGCTTCTGGAGTTGGCTGAGAACTACACAAAAATTCAGGACTCTGTGCCCAGTGTTTCTTCACGGTGACAAGCGCACTCAGGGATTTTGTGTAATACGGACACTTGATTTGGAAGTTTCGTCTCAAGTTTTAATTCTGGTTACAGCTGGGGTCTGTGCTTTCTAGGATGGGGGTGTGGGCCGTCCTGGGCGATCCTTCCAGGCTGCGTGGGGCTGAACAGGGGCACGCGGTCCAGGAACCCACTGTGCCCAGGGCCCTCCCCGTGGGGATAGCTGGGTGGGCTCTCCCGCTGGGGGCGTTGGCAGCCAGTCAGTCCCACCCCCCGAGCCTCGGTCCCGCCTGGAACGGAGTGGGGGCGGCAACAGCCCACAGGTGTGCTGGGCCGTGAAGAGACCCCCAGAGCTCTAGACGTGCGTACCCCGGGAGCGGCACGCAGGCATCCAGCTCCCGCGACGGGACGAGATCAGCACCAGGGACAAACAGTGGCCTCGTGGGTCGGGATAAAACGAGTGAAACTGTTTGCTTTTCCCTCGCTGGCTCCCTGTTGTCTGCTTTGAGTGATTGTTGTCTCTTTCGTGCAGGGTGAAGTGGGCGCCCCAGGACCTAAGGTAAGGACGAGACAACCTGGCTGTCAGCCGAGTGGGAAACTGGAAAAAATAAATATAAAAGAGCAGCCCAGGTGGAGATTCCAGAGTACAAACGCTTACATAGAAGCTTTACAAAGATCGAACATTATTAGCTGAGCTTTTTTGATGTGACCAAAAGGCATTAAGATTAAAACCAAGAAAGTAAAATTTAAGATTCCCCTAAAATTAGCCCTCAGGTCAAGGGGGTGGTAATATGTCAAAACTGCTGAATATTTGTTAAACGAGACCAAACGTGGGTGAGCACCAGCCACAGGGGCAGCTCACGGAGGGCCCGGGGCCCCCGCCCTCGGGGGGCTGCCTCTGAGGCCTGTGGGAAGCGATGAGGGAACCCCAGCCCACTGCAGGGGCCTTCCGGAGGGCGTGCCGCGTGCGTGACAGGGCAGGTCACTCTGCTGCCCTGGCTGTGGGCCAGGGGAGCCCGCGTCCCTCACAGCCAGGAGAAAACCGTGGTCCCTGCATTGGCAGATGAGGGGAGATGGTGTCGGGTGGGGCTGGGCCAGGCGGCGGTGCATCCAGCCTCAGGACGGACCCTGCGCCAAGCCCAGCCCTCTGCAGGGGGGCCCTCCCTGTCTCAGATCCCCATGCCCCTCGCCTGCTCACTCGCTGGCCGGCACCTGGCCTTGGGACCCTCAGGCCCTCCTGCTCTCCACCCCCCCAGATGCGCTCTGGGCCCCCATCTGCCGCCCCCCTCGCTGCACAGGGCGCCCTCCCCTCGCTCGCCCGCCACAGCGCGTCCCCACCCTCCTCTGCCAGGAGCAGAGTGCTCTGCGCACACCTTGCACCAGACCTGGAGGGAACATCTCAGGCGCGTGCTCTGGGGGTCTCCCTCCATTGTTTCATTTTTATTTTTATTTTTCTGACTCGGCAAAGTAGTTTATTTCTTGCTCAGCCAGCGTCCTGGGCAGATATTCAGGTCAGCGACCCCCTTTCCTTGCCATTATTCGGGACCCTTGGCTCCTTCCGTCTTGCACTCTACCGCCCGTGGGTCACAGAGTGGCGCGCATTGCTTCGGCTCACGTGACGTGGGAGAAACCGTGGCGGTACGGCCACGCCCAGGTTGGCGGGGGGCGCAGAGAACAGCGACTTCTGGTAGGGAGCCAGGGGTCTCTGTCCTATACACCCACCTCTCATGGTTCCGTTTGTGAAGTGGATATAGTCATCTCCTAAAGTCAGAGGAAGAACAGGTGCTGCTGGGTTTGCTATGCGGAACCTCATTTCTTGTCAGCTTTTCAGATTTGTCAAAAAGCCTACGAGGAAAGTGGGCACACAGGGGATGCGGTCGCTTCTTGGGGCTTAGCCACAAGTGGGGACATCCTCTTTCCCCACCTGTGCAGGGAAGCAAGGGTGACCCTGGGCCTGTTGGCGCTCCTGGGGAGAATGGCTTGGCAGGAGCCTCCGGACCAGCTGGACCACCAGGGCCCCCAGGACCCCCTGGGCCACCAGGACCAGGACTTGCCGCAGGGTTTGTGAGTACAAGTTGCTGCTGTCCCCCAGGCAAGCCCTGGGCGCCCCACACCAACTGGCAGTCTCCCCAGCCCCGGGGTGGAGCCGGCGTCCCGGCCCCGTCGAGCCCCTCATCCAGCCCCCGTCCCGGCCCCCGTCCAGCCCCGTCCCAGCCCCCGTCCGAGCCCCCGTCTGAGCCACAAGCTCACTGAATGCAGGGTATTTATGGCCCTGCCTGACTCCTGACCATGTCAGTGCCTGGACGGTGCCACACGGTGGAACTGTGGGTGGTGGGGAGGAGCAGCCGTCCGTTTCCTCAAGCCGTCATTGCTCAGGGCCCGTGTCCGGTGCGTGCTAGGGGAAGGCTGCTCCCTGGGACAAAAGCAGAAACCAAACACTGTCAGACAGCCAGGCCCCCAGCAGGCGCTCAGCCCACAAGTAAATTACCTACGCTCAGGAGGGCTGCCCGGGCCCAGCAGGGTCCCTGCTTCTTATCCTCGGGCCAAGGACGCCTGCTTGTGGGTGACCTCGGCCCCTGGAGCCCGCCCTGTTCAGCCAGGGCCGAGTCAGTGGCCGGCTTGAGGAGGGGTCTCTTCCCATAAGTGACACCGGCCCAGGTGCCCCTCCTGTGCTCTCCGCAGGATGACATGGAAGGCTCTGGGGGACCCTTCTGGTTGACGGCTCAAGGAGCCAGCGGGTCGCAGGTACTACCCTCACGGGGCTCACTCTGCTCTCGGGGAGGGGGCGTGTGGGGCAGGGGGCGTCCCTGGGACCAGTCCCCCAGTGGGGACCAGCAAGGCCGCTGACTCCTGGGCACTGTCCACCCTCAGGGCCTTCAGGACAGGAGTGGACTCTGCATGCAGGGAGTGGACAGGGGGCAATGAGCCCTGAAAGATGGGTCTTTCTGGAAAGTAGCAGTCCTCCAGTCTCTGCAGGGTTCCAGTTTGGGGACATAATAAACTTCTGACCTGAGTAGAATTTTTTCAATGAAAATGGGCACATTCCTGAGAAATCCCACCTCATTCTGCTGTTAACATCTGTGCCGGTCGGGGTTGGGTTGGGTGGAGCCAGCGACACCCTGGAGTGCCCAGGACTTAGGACAGGTGGGGGGCACGTCGGGGGTGGGCAGTGCCTCTGTCACGGCCACTGGACGTCCAGGACGCCCTTCAGCCAGCGTCCACCGTGGGTGGAGACGCTCCGCCCGGCGAGGGTGAGCCCCCAGCAACGTTAATGAGAATCTTCTCTTGGGCGGAAACAAAGCCTCTGATAAGCTATTTGCCGTTTAATTCAGTGTCTTTCCTTTTACGTATTAAAAATCCTAGTCTTTGGCGGTTGCAGTTAGCTGCCTGGCCATCCAGTGGGGTGTGATCCCAGAGGCGACAGGTCACTCTTGTGTGGCCTGAGGGCAGAGGGACCCAGTGGGAGGCAGCAGCAAGGTCCCGGGGGCACAGGTCCCATCCCTCTTTAGGGTCCTAGACCCAAGTACACAGGAGGGGTCGGCAGGGCTGTTTTATGACCGTGGAGGAGATGGGGACCCTCGGGGGCCCAGCAAAGTTGCAGCGGCCAGTGCCCAGAGCAGGACCGAGTGGCCGTCCATCTGCTCAAATGCACTGACACTTCCGTCACATCAAGTGGCCACCCACCTCCACGGAGGGCATCGGGCACGCCTGCCCCAGCGGCCGGCCTGTGTGCTGCCTTAAGGGTCCAGCTGGTGCCGGGGACACACCACCGCTTCCGCGATCGCGCGGGGCTGCTGATGCATGTGGGAGGAAGACCCTCCCTGCAGGGGCTCAGGCTCTGTTCCTTCTCTGCCCCGCAGGGACTGCCCGGCCCGCCCGGAGTCAAGGTCAGTGAGCGCCCCCCTCCCTCCCTGCTAGAGGAGTAGCCTGAGTCCACCGCGGGCGATGTGTGAACTACGGAAAACCCTAATGGGAATCGACGATCACGCACCACCCATCCTGAGCTTCCGTGTTCGGGGCGGGGGGGGGCGTTCGTCCCATCCGCAGCTTCCGTGCTGGGGGGGCATCCTTCTAAAGCTGTGTGGTCCCCGCCTTCGCACATCTGAAGGGTGCTTGCCCACCTGGGAAGACGGAGGAACCTGCCCCCACCCCACCTCCCAGGCTCTGGGGCAGTGGGGTGGCGCCCAGGGGACTCCTCCCACCTCCCTGCTTTGCTCTCTGCTCCCCGACCCTCCCCCTGGAGGACACTAGCCCCCACCCCTCCCCATGGGTGGCCGGGGGGGAGGGGGCCCCAGGAGGGCCCCCCCCCGGGCACGCCATGTCCCCACAGACACATGGGTTCAAGGGCGTACAGGCTCCACTGGAGGATGTTTTAGAAAGTTCCTTTGATGAATGTTGTCTTAGAAGGTTTTGCTTTGATTTGTAAAACTCTGGGATGTCTCAGAAGGTTGCGCTTTAGAAAGACACACTGGCTTACTTTCTTAAGAATGGAGTCAGCTGGTGGAGCTGCTCCTTGGGGCAAACGAAAGGTGCAGCTTCCAGAACAGTCTAGGCTCCACTGTGCCTGCATAGCTCCCCACGACCCCCAGGACCCTCCACTCTGGGCTGAGCAGGGAGGGGGCCCTGAGAGGCCATGCACATCATTAGCCCTCCCTTCCTTCCTCCTGGAGGAGGAGGAGGGTGGACGCCGCCGTGGGGGTGGGCTGCCCATGCTCCGCACTCATGGGGACCCTTCTCCCACTCTAGGGGGATCCTGGAATAACCGGACCACCGGGCACCAAGGTAAGAAAGAGCCTTTTCTCGGGTTCAGAAAATCAGGGATCTTTCCCAACTCCATTCGGGAGCAGAGAGGGACCCCATCGGTCCCATCGCCCCGTCCCACTGGAGCCACAGAGACTAGGGATGAGGTTTGCATGGAGTGACCTCCAAGGCCAGACCCAGGGTCATTCTCCCTTTGGTTCTTGCTTGTGCTGTCTGGTCTCAGGCTTCATTCCTTAGAGTCCAAGATTGTCCCAAGGGCACCCACCCCCAGGGCAACTCCCAGGACACCCCCAGGACACTGACCCCCCAGGACACCCCCATCCAGGACACCTGCCCCCCAACACCTCCCTGGGCACTCCCAGGACACCCCAGGACACCTACCCCCAACACCCCCAGGACACCCTCTCACCCCAGACCCCTTCCTCCCGGCTCCAAGGTGTGAATTTTGGGAACCACAGGAATCTGTCCAACCATGGTCCCCTCCCCTTCTCTGCCCCTCGGGGCTCCTAGGAAGGAGGCTGGAGGCCGACTGGACTGAATCACCCTCAGGGGTGAGCTGGTGACCCCCAGAAGCCCCAGCCTCCTCAGCCCCCCGGACACCAGGGTTTGCTGGGTGGTGGGCTAACACTCGTCTCTCCCTGTGTTGGGTACAGGGAGAAGTCGGGGCCGAAGGACCTCCCGGGTTCCCCGGCCTCCCTGGCAGAGAGGGCTCGGCTGGAGCCCAGGTGAGTGGCTCCCCAGGACTGTAGTGGGGGGGAAGAACTGCCCCCCCAGGTGAGTGGCTCCCCAGGACTGTAGTGGGGGGAACCACCCTGCAGGAGCTGCTCTGATGAAGCCAGAGCCTCAGTGTGGTCTCCGGGGTTCCTGACCAGTTCTCTGTACCCCGAGGGGCTCAGACCCCGGCTCCACAGGCCATGGGCTGGGGGTGCAGCCTGCCTGGCTCGCCACCACCTCCCCCCAGGAAGGAAGCGCTCTTTACATCTTCACTTGGAGCCCGGGCTGGTGGCCGGGGGTCTCTGGGGGAGGGGGGTCAGTTTCTGTTTAAGGTGACCCGTTTCCTTTCCATCTCTTCAGGGACCCAAAGGAGAAAAAGGGACCCAGGGAGAGAAAGTAAGTTGGGGCTCAGGGTCCCCAAGCAGGGCAGGTGCATGGCCAGGCCTCGGGGGCGCCCTTGCCCCTGCCACCTGTGTGGCCTCGGAGGCTTGGGGCAAAGACCCTCAAGTCTTGGGTGCTGGCTGGGAACCTGCCCTGCTGGGATGGGGGGGGCTCTCAGGGCTGCCGTCCTCAGCCCCGGCACCTCCTCTCACCCTCTAGGCTCCAGGAACCCCTTCCAAGGCCTGGGTGGGTTGGGGGTCCCTCCCAGAGCTGCCCTGACAATCCAGAGGCCCCCGCAAGCAATCTGAGTGCCGGACACTGGCTTTCTCTTCCAGGGCGACCCAGGGAGGGATGGAGTGGGGCAGCCTGGCCTCCCCGGACCCCCCGGACCCCCGGGGCCTGTCGTCTACATGTCGGAGCAGGATGTAAGGACACTGCATGGCCGGGCAGGCGCTCTGCCCGCCGTCCCCCCAGCACTGGCTACAGTGGGTGCAGGCCTGGCCCTGACCCCACGGGAAGCTGGGAGGCCATCGGGGCCGCTGGCTCTCTCCACCCAGGGTGACCCCCAAAGTTCTATTCAGAACCAGTGACTGTGTCTCATTCTGGTGAGACTTTTACATTATTTAAAAGAGAAGAAAAATACGGGCTGGGTGTCCAGAGAGAAACAGAAGTTCTGTAGCAGAAAATCGAGATGGAAAAAGGCCCCTCCCGCCAGGCCTCACAGAGCCGCCCTGCCGGGGTCCCCCTGCTCCTGCCGATGCCGGCGGCTCCGCTCCAGCCCCCAGGCCCAGCAGGGAGGTGGGGGACTGGCCCTGGGCCCCAGGGTCTCTGGAAGGTTCTCCAGTGCAGGGCGGGCTCCCGGCAGCTGGCTTCCCGCCTCATCTGAGGGACCTTGAGGCCAGAGCCTGGAGGACTATCGAGGCCGTTTTTCTTGCACAGTTAGTTTCTGTGTGGATTTGTTGATCCTGTAAGAGGAGTTCGATTTTCGTTCTAAACATGCTGTTTCTTCCTTCCTTCCGCGGTCCCGTGTCTCTCCGGCGTGCCGACAGAAAGTGCTGGGAGGCGTGCCGGGACCTGAGGTACGGGTGGGCTGTCCCCGGTGAGAACTGCAGCCCGCGTCCACACGCCCGCCCTGCACTGACCCGCCCCTCTCTCCTGCAGGGCAGGCCGGGGTTCGCGGGCTTTCCTGTAAGTGGCTGCTCAGCCCGTCCTGCACCAGCCGGGAGCCCCTGGCAAGCCCAGCGCCAGAGGGGGCCCGCAAAGCCGAAGAACCTCCCGGGTCCTGAGCAAAGCCCCCCTGGGACCAGGGTGGAGGCTGGGGGTGGGGGTCGCGGGGTGAAGGGTCGTGAGCCCTCCTCCACCTGACGTGGGTTAGGACCAGGAGGCAGCCGTGGTGGGACAGGGTCCCTCGCGTGACCCTCATTCCTGCCTGTCTCCCCACAGGGACCGGCCGGGCCAAAGGGAAATCTGGGCTCCAAAGGCCAGAGGGGCCTCCCGGGACCCAAGGTGAGCGGCTTGGGCATCATCTGCCCAGGGACCGCCCCCTCTGTGACCCTGGGGGTGTGGACACGTGGCCAGGAGATGTGACCAATTCTGACCTCCCCGTGGCCCGTGGAGGCCCCATGGAGACGCCCCCATCTCAGAGCCCAGGGAGGGGAGGCCCCTGCTCACCACACTCTGGGGTGTGGGGGTCAAGGAGCCCCTTCCCCAGAGCTGGCCTCACGCCTGCCCCCCACGCTGTTCCAGGGCGAGAAGGGTGAGCCGGGCCCGGTCTTCAGCCCCGATGGCAGCATGCTGGCCCCCGCCCAGAAAGGGGCCAAGGTGAGTCAGTCAAGTGCCTGGGATTGGCTCGCCTTCGTCCAGGCTGGGGAGGGGCCCGAGAGGGGCCAGTTCCTGCCCCCGTGTGAGAGCCACTCCTGAGCAGGCTTCCAGAAACTTCTGTAGCCTGGGTCCCTGGCCTTTTCCTGTCTGTCCCTCGGTCACAGCCACACTGGAAAGAACCTCGAGCTCCTGCAGAGCCCTGCATGCCCAGCCCGGCCACCACCAGCCGGCCCCTGGTTCTCCCCTGCAGACGGGCTGGGGGCTCTCGGGGGGTGGGGGGGCGGTGTCCAGCCCAGGCCTTGCTTGCAGGAGCGGCCCCGCCCAGAGGACAAGGCTGCCCCTCAGGCTTGAGGGCTGCCACTGGGGTGGGGTCCCAGCCCTCCTGGGTCCCAGCCCTCCTCCCTCAGGAGGCTCAGGAGTGGGTTGAGGGGACTGTGCCCCAGGTCCCCACCCCGACACGGGCTCTGGGAGGGTCTGGGGAAGACCTGGATCTGGATTCAGTGGCCGTGGGGGGCAGTCCTGCTGGGGCCCCGAAGGCTCCCTGGGTTGTTTGGGGGTGGGCCGTGGGACCTCGGATCTCCAGGTCCAGAGAACTCTGCCAGCCCTGAGGTCGGGGGGAGGGTCCCCATGGTGGGCCTCATCCATGCACCCCTGGGACAAAGACCCCAATCCAGAGTGTGCTCCCTGTGCCGTGTCCTCCCCTCCCTGGTGTCAGAGGCCCAAGGGCGCTGCCTGGGGGTGGGGGGGTGGCCTGCAGCCATCTGACCGTGCGTCTGGTTTTCTGTTCAGGGAGAGCCTGGCTTCCGAGGACCCCCGGTGAGTAGGCCCACATCTCCCCCGCACAGCGAACACGCGTGTGCAGTCTCAAAGAACACGCAAGGTCGCTGCGGGTGCTGTCACAGCCGGGCCGCTGAGTGGGTGCGGGTGGCCCGAGGACATCCCCGCTGCACCTTTCAAACGTGGGGGCAGGTCGTGGGCGGGAGGCCCCTATTCTCTGCTCACCTGAAAGGTGCCTCCTCCTTTCTGCAGGGCCCCTATGGACGGCCGGGGCACAAGGGAGAGATTGGCTTCCCTGGGCGGCCGGTAAGGACCCGGCATCTCGTACTGCGCGGGGCAGCATGGGGGAGGGGAGCGGCCCCCGTCCCTCCGGTTGTCCTGCCCCCGGGGACCGTCCCTATGTGAGGACAGCTGTCTCCAGGACGAAGCCCAGGAACGCCCAGCTCGTGGGCGGCTGGGCCTCAGGGGCTGGTACCCGGGAGACCCTGGGTGGGGACCGAGAGCGGGCGAGGCCGGGTGTGAGCCACAGCAGCAGCCCCCGCCCCTGTGCTCTGCCCCAGGGTCGCCCCGGGATGAACGGATTGAAGGGGGAGAAAGGGGAGCCGGGACACAGCAGCATCGGCTATGGCGTGAGGGTGAGTGTCCCCCAAGGGGCGGACGGCAAGGCTGGGACACCTTTCTGGTTTTGCCATCACCGTGGCCTCCTTCCTCCCATGGCCTAAACGTGGCTGCCGCCTCGTGAAGAGCCAAGAAGTAGAGGCCACGTCCCGTGGAGTTCTGAAGTAGCGAGAGATTGCTAGGTCAGGGTCATGGAGAAGGAGGATGGGCTCTTGGATTCTTTGTGCCCTGGTGGGTATGACATCCTGCTGGCGCCCGCGCAGCTCACGGCGTCTCCCGGGACAGGGCTCCTCCTCCGGCGGCTCCTTTTGGGGCCTGAGCGGCCGGCTCCGTGCTGCGTCCCGTCCCCTGGCCTCCGTGGGGCAGCGGCGCGGGGGCGACCGCAGGGCAGGCAGGGATGGCGCACCACCTCTCCCTGGTCTCCCTCCTGACACACGTGGTCCAGGACGCAGGTCACTTCCAGAAGAAGCCCTTCTCACGCTGGCCAGGTCGGCGCTCGGCTCCCCTTCTGTGAACAAGTAAAGGGAAGTCCACGCACAAGCTCAGCCTGCTGGCGTCAGCCTCCCGGGGCTGTCCCTTTAAACACACAGGCTTCACCCCAGCGTCCAGGGCCATGTCCAGTCCTGTCACCCTGTCCATGTCGCCTAAGAGACATCCTGGAAGGGGCAGCTCTGTGCTCAGGGACCCCACAACCACAGAGTAAACGGGATGCTTCTGGATTCTATGCTTTCCATGAGTTCAGTTTTCTGATTCTACTGAGACTTTTAGAAATAATCCTGCTCATATCTACTGCCCTGGTCACGTCCATGGCCTGACTTGAACATGACTGACAGAGCTTGCTGTCCTCCCCATGCAGGGTCCACCCGGTCCCCCAGGGCCTCCGGGGCCCCCAGGCCCTCCTGGGACTCCCATCTATGACAGCAACGTAAGTCTTCCCACTTGCCAAGTGCCCTCCCCACCCTCCTCATAGGCCCTACCCAGCACCCACGCCCGGGGAGGGGGGCGGGGCTCGACCCCCCAAGGAGGGGCTAACCCCCAGGGAGGGGCTGACCTCTAGGGGTGTCTGACCCCCAGGGAGAGGCTGACCCCCAGAGGGGGGCCAGCCCAATTTCTGGCAGGGGGGTGGCTTGTTGGGACCCACGCCCACCTGCCTGGTAGGCCCACCTGGCAGGTATTCTGTTAGAAAGCAGGCTCCTCCCTGGGGCAGTGAGGGCTGGATCTGGGAGCCTGAGGCTTTAGCCCTGGGGTCCTGGAGGGACACACACCCCTGTCTTACGACGTTCAGCCACATGAAGTGACCCAGAAGGGGCAGATCCCATCATGAGCAGGGCTCCTGACCCCAAAGCCCTGTTTCCTCTCCCTTCCCCTCTCTGCACCCCTGGGGGGGGCTATCCGTGTGGCCTCACGGAGGGGCTGGGCCTCTGGGCTCCGGGAGGCCTGCATGGGTGCTGGCTCCACTCGCAGAGCATCTCCCTCACTGGCCAGCTTCTTTGCAGGCCTTTATGGAGTCTGGCCGCCCTGGACCCCCAGGATTACCAGGTGAGGATGCCTGGGGCCTCGGGGAGGGATGCTGGAGCTCCCCTGAACCCTCCGCTCCCGGGCATCAGGAGCTCCTGGCGCCCCGTGCGCACTAATCCAGGTTGATCACACCCCCTTGCCGGGCCTCGTGGGTCCTCCCAGTCGGCCTTCCAGGCAGCAGTGGACACTGTGCAGCCTTCGCCGGCCGCCCACGATTTAGATCTGGCTCCCTGGCCCCGCCCCCCACCCTGGCAGCTCGTGAACCCGCGGGAGTGACGCGGTCCCTGGGGCGGTCTCCCGAGCTCTTCTGCTTGGCGCCCTGAGGGTTTCCAAATCCGTGTGATGCCCCTCCCCCATACGGGTGCAGCACACGCGGCGGTCAGCAGGGTCTGGGTGCACCAGGCGGGAGGGCTTTGTTCACACGCCATAACGGGCGCTGGCATCTCTGTCCCTCCAGGGCTCCAGGGGCCTTCTGGACCCAAGGGTGACAAAGGAGATGTGGGCCCTCCAGGACCACCAGGTGAGGGCGCTCTGGGCAGCCCTGGGCTGGGGAAGGGGTTCCTCAACATTGTTGCTTCTGTGGTGACCTGGCTGCCCTCCTGGAGGAAAGAAGCCCCTCCCAGGCTCGTGGGGCCCGGACAGGACCTGTGGCACTGAGTCTGGGCTTGAGACACCTGGGTGGCCCTGCAAGCCTCAGGCCCAGGGCTTCAAGGACAGGTGTCCTGGGCAGCAGGGCTGAGGGGTAAGGGCTGGGCCCAGTGTGCTGCGGGTCTCGGGGCGACCCCTCCCTTCCCACAGGCTGTGCGGGAGCCCTCATCAGCCAGCTTGCCCTGGGGTGGGGGGGTGCGGTGGTGAACTCCTAGCCCTCAGAAGTGGCCTTGGATGGTGAGAATCCTCTGCCAAATTCTTCCACTGCTGAACGAAATACAAGAAAACAACAGTCTGAATGTCAGAGAGCTAGCAGGTCAGAAGCCCAGAGAGCTGGGGCCCCAGCCCCAGGCAGTGCCAACTGAAGGGTGGCCGACCAGGACCTCCATGGAAGGGGCTACAGCCCAGAGCAAGGGCGGGTCAGAGATGAAACCCCGGGTCTCCTCTAAGGGCTACTTAAGCTCTTGGAGGGCCTAGGACTTAATGAGGCTGAGCAGGTGAACAAAATGGCCAGAACAGACCAGAACACAAGATGGAGCGCACATGGCGGGCAAGCCAGGCCCACAGGAGGCCCAGCTAAGGCGGAGACAAGTGACAAAGTGCTCCAGTAGGGTGGGGATGAGGGCATCCGCAGGGAGCTGGGAGCCCTGGAAAGAGTCAGTTCCGTTCTGGAACGGAGAGCTGGATCCGAAGAGTCTGCACGAGCCTAGGTAGATGAGACGGGGAAGAGAGCGAGGGGAGGTCCGCACGGAGCAGGCAGGCCAGGGCTGGGGTGGGGGGCACCGGCAGGAGAGCATCTGAAGAAGTCACAGCCAAGGGTTTTCCAAGACTGGGGAGAGGCTCAAGGAGCCCTTCACGCAACTGATCAAGACCAGACTCCTCTACCGGAGAGAGAGACGCCAGAAAAGAGGCTTCGGGATGGGGAAAGACAGGGGTTGCTAATCTGTGAGTCTGCGTCCATGGAGATGTGCTTTGGGATGTCGGAGGACCAGCCCTGACGGGATGGTGGGGGCCCTTCGGGAGAAGGAGGTGGTGCTGCTGGTACGCATCCTGAGGCCGCTCCGAAGTGGGCAGCCCTCCTTTGCGTCTGGCTTCACGTCAGGATGCACCGTGCAGCACAGAGATAAGCCAAGAACAGACCAGGAACACGCAACTGAAGCTAACACGCAGGAAGAAGGCCACGGGGGACACCTGCACCCCGGAAAAGGCAGAACGGAGAGAGATGGAACACAGAGCCGACGGCACATGTAGAAAGTGGGCAGGAGAAGAGCTGGTTTGACGTAAAATCTGTCTTTCAGTGCATCAAACGTGAGTACGCTGCATACTCCAGTCACAAGATAAACAGATGAAAACAAAACCGCATGCTGCTTACAAAAGACACTCCGCAAACGTGAGGATACGCACGCTGAACGTGGAAGGAGGGGGGAAAGCATTCTACTGGGAAGGGAGCTGGGGAAAGCAAACCAGGCTTGTGTATGTGTGCACCTGCATGTGCCTGTGTGTGTGCACCTGTGTGTGTGCATCTGTGCACCTGTGTGTGTGCACCTGCGTGTGCACCTGTGTGAGTGTGCACATGTGTGCACCTGTGTGGGTACACCTGTGCGTGTGCGCGCCTGCGTGTGCCTGTGTGTGCACCTGCGCGTCTGTGTGTGCACCTGTGTGTGCGTGTGCACCTGCATGCGTGCACCTGTGTGCACCTGCATGTGCGCATGTGTGTGTGCACCTGCGTGTGCCTGTGTGTGCACCTGCGTGTTCCTGTTTGTGCGCCTGTGTGTGCACCTGCGTGTGCGCCGGTGTGTGCAGCTGTGCGTGTGTGCACCTGTGTGAGTGTGCGCCTGTGTGCACCTGTGTCTGTGTGCACCTGTGTGAGTGTGCACGTGTGTGCACCCGTGTGGGTGCACCTGTGCATGTGTGTGCACCTGTGTGTAAGTGTGCACCTGTGACTGTGCACCTATATGTGTGTGCACCTGCGTGTGCACCTATGTATTTGCATGCGCACCTGTGTGTGTGCATGTGTGTGCACCTGTGTGAGTGTGCACCTGAGTGTGCCTGTGTGTGCGCTTGTGTGGGTGTGCGCCTGCGTTTGCCTGTGTGTGCAACTGCGCGTCTGTGCCTGTGTGCACCTGTGTGCGTGTGCACCTGCGTGTTCCTGTTTGTGCACCTGTGTGTGTGCGCCTGCGTGCACCTGCGTGTGTGCTTATGTATTTGCACCTGTGTGTGCTCCTGCGTGTGCCTGTGTGCAACTGCGCGTGTCTGTGTGCCTGTGTGCACCTGTGCGTGCGTGTGCACCTGTGTGTGCACCTGTGAGTGTGCACGTGTGCACCTGTGTGGGTACACCTGTGCGTGTGTGTGCGCCTGTGAGTGTGCACCTGCGTGTGCCTGTGTACACCTGTGTGTGAATTTGTACCTGCGTGTGCCTGTGTGTGCGCCTGCGTGTGCCTGTGTGCGCCTGTGTGCACCTGCGTGTTCCTGTGCGTGCGCCTGTGTGCACCTATGCGTGTGTGCACCTGTGTTTGCCTGTGTGTGCACCTGCGTGTGCCTGTGTGCGCCTGTGTGTGTGCACCTGCGTGTGCCTGTGTGTGCGCCTGTGTGCACCTGTGTGTGTGCACGTGTGTGTGCACCTGTATGTGTGTGTGCCTGTGTGTGCGCCTGTGTGTATGCACCTGCGTGTTCCTGTGTGTGCGCTTGTGTGTGCACCTGTGCGTGTGTATACCTGTGTGTGTGCACCTGTGTGTGCCTGTGTGCGTCTGAGTGTGCACCCGCGTGTGCCTGTGTGTGTGCATGTGTGCATCTGTGAGTGCACCTGTGTCCATGTGTGTACAAATGCAGTGTGTGTGTGCGCGTGTGAGAGAGGTCACACAAGTCTATATTAAGGCAGGAAACATTGCCAGAAATTCTAAAAAACTGTTTATAACGATAAAGGGGTAAACCCACCAGGAAAATGCAGCAATTCCAGATTTCCGTGCACCTACAGCACGGCGTCCCCAGGTAAAGAGCCGTAATGGGCAGGACTGACGGAAAGGAGCAATCATCGCGGGGGTGTGGCCGGCTCTCAGCAAGTGATGGGACCAGCGCACGAAGGAACAGCTCAGGCGGGGGATGGAGGAGCTGATGGCGGGTGACCGCTGGGGGTGACCACCTGGACCTCTGGCGCCCGGTCGGCCCCACACGGGCCCACGTGAGGCAGAAAGCGAGCAGGACGTCAGCATCAGAGCCGTACCTGGAAAGCGAACACAGAGCAGCCCCAGATATGGAGAAGCCACGCGGGAGCAGAAAACAGAAAACTTGCGACGGAAGGTGGTGAGGGGCTCCCCGCCCTCCGTCCGCGGCCGCCGTGGCCCCGGGGCAGCAGGACCCCAGCGCGGGGCTCCCACCAGGCGGCGGCTCCCCCAGCCCCAGGCCCCGGGGTTCTCCCAGCGCCGGTGCGTTAACTGCTCCGGAGGTCACAGCCTCACCCGGCACACATTTCCAAGCGCCCAGCTCCAGAAGTCCGAAAACAAATAGCAAACTTACCTTGAAGAAAAGAGAAGAAATGGTACGGATCGGAAGTGAACGAGCAGTACAGATGCAGCCGGCCCTTTGAAGAGACCGGGGATCCTGGCGCGCCCCCTGCCGGACTGAGAGCGGAAGGAGCCCCGCGGGCCGCCGCACTGGGGGCTGCCCTTGCAGGAGGCCTGCGGGCGGGCGTCTGACGCTCTGACCCCCTGACCCCCTGACCCCCTGACCCCAGCCGCCACAGGGGCCGAAGCCCGGCGGGAGATGGGGAAGGGAAATACTGCCATGTATTTTTGGAAAGAAGTAATAAAACGGCCATTTTTACAGACAACACGCGTTTGAACGTCAACCACCCAAAAGGACGTACAGATAAACCGTTAGAATGAGTCAATTTACTGACGTTGGGAGGGCAGTTTACAAAAATCAACGACCCGTCATAAACAAAAATAAATTCTAAAAAGGTGCCATTTAGAGAAGGAAGGGGATCAGACCTGTGGCTCCTGGAGGCAGCCGGGGGTTCTGGGAACCCTGCCGAGCCACCAGAAATCTACCCAGAAACAAAGAAATTCTAGAAAGCGAGGAAGGAAGACGAAGGGGGGGGCAGGGCGCTGCCAAGGGGCTCACCGAGGGCCCCCTCCCCCCGCCGCTTCTCTCCTGCAGGGCAGTTCCCGTTCGACCTCCTGCAGCTGGGGACTGAAATGAAGGTGGGTGATACCCGGGGCCCCGAAACCCGCCCCACCCTGACTCGGTTTCTCCGGGGCTCGGGCAGTGTAGGAAAGTGGGGAGCTGAGCCCTGTCCCACCAGGCCTGCCAGAGCTGGGCTCCAGAAGCTTCTGCTGCCTTCCCTGCCCGCCCAGGGCTCCTGGGGGTCAGCCCACCCCCACGCCAGTGACGGCAGCCGGGCTGCTCTCAGACCAGTGTTCCCACCCACAGGGGGAGAAGGGTGACCGAGGGGACACCGGGCAGAAAGGAGAACGGGGTGCGCCTGGGGGCGGCGCATTCTTCGGCTCAAGTGCGCCCGGCCCCCCCGGCCCCCCCGGGATTCCGGTAAGTCTGGGGTCCCCAGGCCTGCACCAGAGCTCACGGCCCCAGGGCCCCGGGTTGGGGCCAGGGCGGGTGCAGCCGGGCCGTGGACACCTGCGAGCCCCCCCCCTCCAGCTCCCGCCCCCACTCTCGGGGCGGGGGGCCCACACCCACTTTCATGCCCACTCTCCTGCTGGTGCTGTTCTTTCCTCAGGGAGATCATCTGCCCTAAAAGATTCCAGGGAGCCCAGGCCCCAGCTTCTGCCTGGGGGACAGAGGGGGAGGAGGGCTCTCGGGGGGGCTGCACCGCTGTCCACGTCTTGGGACGCCGTCCCAGTGAAGGGTGCATGATGTGCGAGGCCAGGTTTCCCAGGCCCTGTGGCGTGGGGAGGGAGGCGGCGGGGAGGGAGGCGGGGGCGCTCCGAGCTGCTCCCTCAGGGCCTCAGCCGATGAAGCCTGGCCCCTCAGGCTTTCCTGCCTCCTGTTTTGTTGACCCCAACTAGGGTCCCAAGGGAGAGAGCATTCGGGGCCAGCCTGGCCCACCTGGACCTCAGGGACCCCCTGGCATCGGCCATGAGGGGCGTCAGGGACCTCCTGGGCCCCCTGGTCCCCCAGGGCCCCCTTCCTTTCCCGGCCCTTACAGGCAAAGTAAGTCGGGTGGGGGGTGGGAGGTGGGGGCCTGGGCTCCTGCTGGTCCAGCCAGGACATGCGTCCCCGTCTCTGGTTTCTCTCCTCTAGCCATCAGTGTTCCTGGCCCCCCAGGCCCACCTGGGCCCCCTGGGCCCCCTGGAACCATGGGCACCTCCTCTGGGGTAAGAGTGCCCCCTGCGCCTGACGGGTCAGATGCTCCCTGCCCCAGCCTGGCCGGCCACCCTTCCCTTTGTGGGTGGGCTTTCAGAGAAGCCCAGCACTGGGCCTGGCTTTGCCCCTGTGGCAAATGCACAGCGGCCTTGAGACGTGGTTCCCAAAGCAGAAGTGGGGAGCCTGGGGGCGGCTGGGGGACTCAGGTGGGCAGGGGAGGACAAGGGAGGATGGCCAGTAGGAAGGAGCCCCAGCAGTGCTCACAGAGAGCGTGGGGACTTGGCGTCCAGCCCTCCCTGCGGGTGGCCCCCCCCCGGCACCACAGAGCATTCTCAGGGGCCAGTGTGATGGAGAAAGGCACCCACTCAAGCCTGCAGGACAGTCCCTCATCGGAGGGCATCCACCTCCCCACCCCCACGAGCCCAGATGCTCCCTGTGTGTGATGGGGACCCACTAGGTCGGGCTTCTAGCAGGTGAGGATCTGGGCCACGTACCAGACCATGCTGGACAAGGTGCCGGAGGTGCCGGAGGGCTGGCTCATCTTCGTGGCTGAGAGGGAGGAGCTGTATGTCCGGGTGCGCAACGGGCTCCGGAAGGTCCTGGTGAGTTCCCTGTACATGGAAGGAACCAGAGAGCTTCCCCAGCTCGTTTGCCGTGCGGTAGGGTTCGGGTGAGCACGTGTGAGGGAGGGGGGCCCGCACCCAGACACCCAGGGCAGGCCTAAGCCGCGGTCTGTCCAGAGGGGCGGACGTCTCGCGGGGTGAGTGATGGACGGAGCTCCTCCTTACGTTTCTTCACTCTTAATGAGCGGACTGATTTTTGGAGCTGTTTACGGTTCACGGAGAAGTGACCCTCCCACTTTTTTTTTAGTTTTTATTTGAGAGAGAGCACGAGTGGGGGTGGGGGAGCAGAGGGAGAAGCTGACCCCCCGCTGAGCAGACAGCCCAACTCTACTCGGGGCTCGATCCCAGGACCCTGGGACCATGACCTGAGCCGAAGGCAGATGCTTCTCCCACTTTGGAAAGTAAACGCACATAAGGTGTTGTGTGCCATGGGCGCCAGGACGCGGCCACACCGGCTTCCACCAGGGAGGGACTGGTGCCGGGCATCAGGGGTCACCGGGGTAACCCCCGTGTTTTCTTCCAGCTGGGGCCGCGGACGCCGCTCCCACGCGGGACGGTAAGGAGCCATCTTACTCTCCACAGCTCCAGGGTCCTGGGGTGCGGGGTGTGGGACGGGGTGCGCAGACCACAAGGCTGCCTCCCTTCGGGCCTCGCCCACCACCCTCCAATAGTGCCAGGCACAGAGATGGGGCCCCTGGGGGGTTGGGGGGATGGGAGGGTCCTAAATATTTGGGTTTCCCACCGCTGTGGCTTTTTGGAGGGTAAAGGCCCAGGACCGAGGCTGCATTAGGTGGTGTGTGTCCCAGGTTCCGCGGGTCTGTCGGCTCATGGAGCCCAGCGGGTCCGCTCTCCCATACATTCATTTATTCATTTATTCACTCAGCACAGTCTCAGGCCCTCCCATATGGCAGGCACTGTTTCAGGCAGGGACATGCAAGGCCCTGCCCCGTGGAGCTCCCGGGCGGGGGACAGGTGGTAGAGATGGCGGATAACAGGCTATTGCTTTATTATGGATTATTAACCACGGGCACCTAGAGACGGGGCACAGGGATCCAGGCAGAGGCAAAGCACACAGTGCGTCAGAAGGCCTTCGGTGCTTGTTGGGAACTGGATGGGGTGCCGGTCACCTCTCTGAGGTGGGGTGGAGCAAGGGCCTCCGGAGCGGCAAGCTTGGGGGACTGTGCGGAGGTGAGGGGGGCGCTAGAAGGTCAGGGAATGTGGTCCTGAGCTTGAGCACAAGGCCAGGCAACCACTGTGGGCATCGGGCTGGCAGGGCTCCCGCCCTAACTCTCCAGGGCACCCCAGGGTCCGTGGATGCACCCTCCAGCTTCCCACCCCCAGGCCGGCCCTCTCCTGCCCCAGAGCACACGCCGGGGGTGCGGATAAATGAAGGGGGTGCTGGACAGGCAGCCAGCAATCAGCCCATTCATGCAGGAGAGCAGGGCCCCTGCCACAGTCTGCCTTCCCGTCTGTAGGACAACGAGGTGGCTGCCTTGCAGCCCCCCGTGGGCAACCCGTACCCCCGGCGGGAGCTCACCCACTCCACGGCGCGGCCCTGGAGGGCAGATGACATCCTGGCCAGCCCCCCACGTCTGCCGGACCCCCAGCCCTACCCCGGAGCCCCACAGCACGGCTCCTACCTGCACTTCCAGCCAGCTCGCCCCACTGGCGGGCCCACCCACACCCACCAGGACTACCACCCGGTGGTGAGCGACACCCCCCCATGTGGACTCCCCGGCCCCTCAGCTCACAAGGACTCCTGGGGCTGCCGGGGACAGTTCTCTGGACCTGGGGCTTGCTCTCTGGTTGTCTCTGGAAGAGCCGAGGACAGGGACTTGCTGGGAGCTGGGTGGGGGTGGTGGCCCAAGGGTGGCTGCTCTGGACTCCAGGGCCCCCAGCAGGGTGCACACTCAGCCCTGGGGGGGCCCGGGGGCCCCGCGGGGGCTGGTGGCTGATCCCGCGGCTCTCCTCCACAGCTGCACCTGGTGGCACTGAACAGCCCCCAGCCAGGCGGTATGCGAGGCATCCGCGGGGCGGACTTCCAGTGCTTCCAGCAGGCGCGCGCCGTGGGGCTGGCCGGCACCTTCCGCGCCTTCCTGTCTTCACGGCTGCAAGACCTCTACAGCGTCGTGCGCCGGGCTGACCGCACAACCGTGCCCATCGTTAACCTCAGGGTGGGTGCGGCTGCTCTGGGGCGTGGGCGTGGGCGTGGGCGTGGGTGGGCCCCCCCCAGGGCCTCCCACACGGCCCCCCACACGGACCCCAGCCCCTGCAGCCACCTGCCAGGGGTCCCATGCGTCACAGGGGGCATCTTCGGGTTCAGGCCGCAGGGCCAGGCCCTCACGTGCAGCCGCCTTGGAGCTCGGGTTAGGAAACGTCGATGGGGGACTTGGTGGCCTACGCGCCTCCTGGCCACCATTGTGCGCTCCTCGGGGCCAGACCGGATCTGGGACTGGGGAGGGTGCCCTGCGAGCTGGCCCACCTCTGGCAAGACATCTCCGGGGAGGGAATAAGCCCCACTGCACTTCCCTCCTCAGGACGAGGTGCTGTTCCCCAGCTGGGAGGCCTTATTCTCGGGCTCCGAGGGCCGGCTGAAGCCCGGGGCCCGCATCTTCTCTTTCGATGGCAGAGATGTCCTGCAGCACCCCGCCTGGTAGGCTCCCCAGGCTGTGCCCCCCAGAGCAGATGGGCAGGGGGTGTGGTCTGGGAGGTGGAGCCCCCAGGGACCAAGGACCCCAACTCCCCGCCCTCCCCCTGGCCCCACATCCAGCCGCCATGGTGGGCCTTCGGGAAATACCCCGTTTTCCCTGAGCGGCAGGCCCTGGTCTGGGGCTGATGGCCGCTGCGTCTTGCAGGCCCCAGAAGAGCGTGTGGCATGGCTCAGACCCCAGCGGACGCCGGCTGACCGACAGCTACTGCGAGACGTGGCGGACGGAGGCTGCAGCAGCCACGGGCCAGGCGTCCTCGCTGCTGGCTGGCCGGCTGCTGGCGCAGAAAGCCACGGGCTGCCACAACACCCTCATTGTGCTCTGCATCGAGAACAGCTTCATGACCTCCTTCTCCAAGTAGGGGCTCTGCCGGCTCAGACGGACAGGTGGACATGGGGCCAGAGGGGAGGCCGGGAGAGCGGAGAAGCCGCTGTGCCGGAGCTTCTGCCCACCCCCCCAGGGTGGGGACCCGGCTGGGACACTTTCCTGTATGGTTCACAGCATACGGTTCACCCTCAAAAAATAAAAGGAAGCCAAAGAGTGTATTTTTAAAAAAGTTTAAAACAAAGCCTGGTGCCAGGACTCTCTTGCGCCCCTCCCCTCCTCACACAGGGCCCTGTCCCCTTCTCTCTTGGCCCCAATCAGACCAGGGGGTAGACCCTGGCCACGGCAAGGGAACTCACTATCCCAGGGGGTGGGGTGCCCCTGTGGCCTTCTGTGGCCCCCACAGGTGCTGATTCGGCTTCCTGCGGGCCTCCCTTCCTCTGGACCTGGCCCAGGGGCTGCACAAGCTGTAATGAGCCCTCGTTCCCCAGCTGTGAGCTGTTGGGGCGGCTCAGGCCAGGGGCGCAGGGTGTGGCCACCTCTCCTTGGCCACCCCCAGGTCAGGGCAGTTCCCCAAATCAGCGCGTCCTCCCACTGCAGACCCCAGGGCCCCCCAGGCTCTGGCCCTTGTCCCAACACCACCATGGGCTGGTGGCTCCCTCTGCAGCCCTGCACATGGGGCCCACCTTCAGCTCTCTGTCCTACACTGGCTTCCCAAGGGACCCATGAGCTCACACCCAGCATGGAGCTCGGCCCAGCCAGGGCCTTCGGGGAGTTTTTCTTAAGTAATCTCTACCCCCAAGGTGGGGCTCATACCCATGGCCCTGAGATCAAGAGCTCTAACAACTGAGCCAGCCAGACGCCCCCATGCTAGGAGTTTTGGGGGGCCCACAACCCAGGGATAGCAGCATCCCGTCCTGGGGCCCAGCCCCTGCCCAGTCTCTTCTAACCGGGCTCACAGCTGCTCCCCATCCCCGGGTCCCTGGCCAGAACTCCTGCCTGCTGAGCCCAGGGCCAGGGTCCCGGTTGATCTTTGCAGGACATGAAGTTCAAACATCCACAGAGGTGGGGCGCCTGGGGGTTCCGTCGGTGAAGCCTCTGCCTTCGGCTCAGGTCATGATCTCGGGGTCCTGGGATCGAGTCCCACGTCGTTGTCGGGCTCCCCGCTCAGCGGGAGCCTGCTCTTCTACCTCTGCCCCTCCCCCCGCCCCCACCCCGCTCGTGCTCTCTAGTAAAATAAATCTTAAAAAAAAAAAAAAAATCCAGAGGCAAATAGGCCACACCTGCCCCGGCCAGGACTCCCCTCCCACGGGGCCTGCCTCGCTGAGCCCAAGAAAGAGGCGGCCACGTGACGTGGAGGGAGCACGGAAGGGGACATTCTGAGGTGCACCCGAGCATCTGGGGAAGACGTCAGAGGGCCCTCCTCCACGGTGGCCATGCTGGAAGGGTGATGGGCAAGCCCCCAGCCGCCGCAGCTCTGCGGCCTGAGCGCTGGAAACCGCAGGAGTAACGTGGTTTCCAAACAGGCTCCAAATAAAAATGGCCTTTTACCCGGACACTGGGTTTGCAGGCAGCCTTCGTGATCATGTGACAGACGCCCCGGAGCCCTCACCCCTGCCGGTGGCTCGTGCGGCGGGAGCACAGGTGTACGCACGTACGCACAGGTGGGCGTGAGCGGCCGCACGCAGGCGCAGAGGGACGCCGGCGCAGATGGACGCCGCCGCGGCCCCAGACCCTTCTCTCCCGAGCCTCCCCGGGGTGGCCGGCAGCCCTCACAGGTGCTCTGCGCCCTGCACCCACGTTCTCCCTGCAGCTGCTGCTGCGTGTGGAACCGGCTGTGAGGCCAGGCGGCCGGGCGGCCACTGACGGGAGGGTTCGCAGGGCAGGGGAGTCCCAGGGCCGGGAGGGCCGGGGCGCACAGCAGGGCCCTGCATCATGTGCTCAGGGACCAGAGGTGACACTCACCCCCTCCACCCACCAAGTCCTGCTAGATCTCTGAGCTCGGACGGGGAACAGCGCTGCCCCCTCCTCACAGGGTCCACGGGGCGCCACGGTGAGTGCGTGTGGATGCCCGGCCTCCCCGCGCAGTGGCCTCCATCCTCACGGCGGCCTCCAGGGCTCCCCCCCCCCGCAGGCCCCAGCAGCCCATCCCCGGCCAGGCGTGTCCTTCCGACCGCTCCCTGCCAAGATGGCTCCAAGCAGCCCCCTTCCCTCCGGTCCCAGGGAGCGCGGGCGCTGCTCCAGACCACGGGAGTTGTAGGAAGGGCTGTGCTCAGCCCAAGGACCTGTGGGCCTGCAGTGGGTCCCTGCCTGTGGGGCGACAGGGGCAGGGGCAGGGGGGGGTCCTCCGCCCACCCCCACCCCCCCAGGCCTGGCTAGTACAGGATCAGAAGCCCCTCCACGCTTGGGGCTTGGGGGTTAATCCCCATCAGGGAGAGCAGACCGTGCAGCTCGGAAGGGACACAACAGGCCCTCACACCCTGAGGAGGTGCACTTGGACGGTCCGTCTGGACTGGCACCTGAGCAGCCCCAGGCCACCCACAGTCACCGGTGAGGTAGGTCAGTGTTAACTCACTTCGGAAACGGGCAGGACAGTGCGGGGCCTGGGGAGGAGTGGGGCTCCGGGGGCCCCAGCGTCCCCACGTCCACCTGACAGAAGGGCCCGCCACTGGGCAGTGTCCAGCTTCTCCCACAGAAACAGGAGCCCATTAAGGTTTCTCGTGTAGGTCACTTTTTTTAAAAAAAGGAAGAACATTGTCTAAAGCAAGTACCTGGACAACTGAGCCACAATCCACAGAAATCAGGGCTCCCAGCCTCGCAGTGCGGGAGCCCGAGACCCTATCCCAGTCACTGGTACCCAGAGACAAGCAGGGCCTGCTTCCCAGGGTGGGGGGTGATGGTGGGGAGGCCTGGTGGGCATGTGAATCCCCACTGCCCACCACGTGTGGGCGGGGGACAGGACCAGAGCACCAAGCAGGGCAGAGAGGCACCGTCCTTGGGCCACCGCAGGACAAGCCAAGGCCCCTCCTGAGGCAGGCTGCCCCCGAGGTGCAGGTCACAGGGAGGTACCATGGAGGGTCCCCGCTGGTCACCATTGGCTCCACAATCCGAACCCTGTAACGTGGATGAGGCCAGAAACCTGGATCGCTGACACCAAGGGGCAGGCCACCTGTGGGGGCGCGGAGGGGGCGTCCGTTCTGAGATGCCAAGGCCCCAGGACGTGGAAGATGCTGGCGGGCGGCCTCTGGTGTCAAAGGGTCAGGCTTTGGCCTCGGGCTGCTGGTTCTGCTCCTGGGAGGCCAGTGGCAGGGCCTCGGGCTGTAGACTGCTGAGGCCGCCGTCCTGTTTGCTAAGCATCTGCATGGCCTTCTCCTTGGCAGGGCTCCTCAGCTCTGGGGGCTGGGGGGGGCGGCGGCTGGCCCGGAAGTGCTGCAGGACCACCAGCACGGCCCCCAAGAGGTAGACACCAAACAGCACCAGGAAGTACGCGAAGTAGACAAGAAACTACAACAGAGAGGGGGCAGGGGCGGGTTTGGGAGGGATGAGCTCGGCCCAGGAGGGGCAGGGGAGCAGCAGGGCAGGGACTGTGGAGTCCTCCCCGGGTCTCCCTCCTCCTATGGAGGCGACGGGAACACTGCAGGGGTGGGGGTGGGCGCTCAGGGGGCAGCCCAGGAGCAGGTCCCACAGGGGGCAAGGCCCACCCTCTGCACCCCTGCAGGCCACAGCTGGCGCAGCCCTGGGGGGGGTCCCGCCGCTTTCCCACAGAACCCTGGCACGTTTCCTGTATGGTGTGCCCTCTGTGACCCACCCCAAGAGGCTCTGCTCACTCTGTTTTACAACAAACATGTGCTTCCCTTTGCAGGTCAAGTTCCCACGGCTGCCAGGGGCTCACATCTGTGTGTGCACGGCCCCGAGCACCACACCGGTTCCTGCCCCAGGGACAGGTGCAGCTGCATACATCCCTCCTAATCCTCGCGACCGTGGGGCGGGCAGTGCTGGGGGGTCTCCCGCATCTGCGGGCCAGACCAGGCGTGAGTCCTGCCCAAGACCACGGCACTCTGCTCCCCGCAGGCCTCCCTCTGCTGCCTTCCACGAAAGCCTCTCTTTACAAGCAACACTGGGAATTGAACCCTCAAGGACTCTGCTTCCAGGGGGATGGAGCTGAGTGTCTTCTCTGTTCCTCCCCCAACTATGGCTAGAACACTGGACGCTACACACACAACTCAGATAAGAAGGTAACTGAGAGAGGTGGAGGGTGGCACACCAGCCAGGACGCTGCAGGCCGAGAACACAGCAATGTGGCCCCTGAGTTTTTTAAACTTTGCCCTGTGTTTATTTTTAGATCTGAAGAAACCAGCAATCCAGAAAAGCCAGCTGATGAAGGGGAAAAAAACAACAAAAGCCGTTCTTTCTGGCCAAAGGACGAGGAGAGGGACAGCCCAGGACAGGGACCTGACAGAGCAGAGCCACTGGACTCCAGCCACACCCCACCCTCACTCCCCAGACTCTAGTCAGACCCCACCCTCACTATCCAGACTCCAGCCAGACCCCACCCTCACTACCCAGACTTTAGCCAGACCCCACCCTCACTCCCCAGACTCTAACCAGACCCCACCCCTCACCACCCAGACTTTAGCCAGACCCCACCCTCACTATCCAGACTCTAACCAGACCCCACCCCTCACTACCCAGACTTTAGCCAGACCCCACCCTCACTACCCAGACTCCAACCAGACCCCACCCTTACTCCCCAGACTCTAGCCAGACCCCACCCTTACTCCCCAGACTCTAGCCAGACCCCACCCTCACTACCCAGACTCTAACCAGACCCCACCATCACTATCCAGACTCCAACCAGACCCCACCCTTACTCCCCAGACTCTAACCAGACCCCACCCTCACTACCCAGACTCTAACCAGACCCCACCATCACTATCCAGACTCCAACCAGACCCCACCCTTACTCCCCAGACTCTAACCAGACCCCACCCTCACTACCCAGACTCTAACCAGACCCCACCCTTACTCCCCAGACTC